ACTTCCGCGATTTCATTCGGGGGGGAGAGAGAGAGAGCCGTTTTTAAAGTTACATGAAATTTTTATTATATACCGCGTATATGTAATTGCGAGCTTCTCTTACGAAGGAAGATCCTCGTATCATTAATCGCTAACGGGCAACGAGTATTTCGTTCGTCGAATTACGCGATATCTCGGATTACATCGGACATGACGGCGCGACACGGATGGAAATTGTCCTTTGAATTGTCGTCGCAACGATGCTGCTGGCGCTCAGACCCGAGCCGAGAAAGACGGTGAAATTTATGGCGGGCCTCGCGTAAATTTGTGGCGTGTGTTGCGCAACGCATGAAAACAAGAGTGACCGAAGTCGTGCGAGAGAGAAAGGTACGATTACGTCGCGCGTAAGCAAAAGATCGGAAGAAGAATTTCTCCTGTCTTTCTCGCATCTCGGGGATTGTATTAGGTCATGACGATGACGCCGATGTTGCTTGTAGTATCTCGCGATTTCCTCCGGCGATACTTTCGTCCGGATATCAGAAACGACCTTCGGCGAATCGCCGTCATCGCGATATCTAGTTGACCGGAATTCAAAAAGAGTTGTTGTCCTATGAATTATTCATTAGGGCTTCTGGAAACGTAAACGAGTTGCGGCATAGTTATCTTTCTTCATTAGAATATTTATTCGATGAGTAATCAATGTTGATTGAGCTAAAAGTAACTGTTTATTAAGTAGCGTGTCTCACTGTGTACTTTTCTCTTATGATATTCAATCTCTCGACATTTTTTGAAATTTAAAATAGACTCATTTAAATTCATTTAAATTATGCAAGATGCTAAATTATGAAAAAGTTAATCAGTTAATAATGAACGTATATCAAGATGAAACGTTGTATTATTTGAAATGAAAATTAAAAGGGTTTATACACGTATAAAATATTTTTTCCATTAGATCACAAATGATGATTAATCTGAAATAAAATAATTTATTTATTGATTAAAATTTTATTTGAGATGTCTAATTGATTTTGCGAGAGTCAGAAAAATAAATATTTTATATATATTTCTTTCTTAGAGATTTGAAATAAACAATTAAATTATGTATTAATAATTTCATTGTATGAGGATATTAAAATCACTATACAAAAAATATATTCTCTCTTTATGCTTTTGGAAAAATTGCTTTCAAATATGTGATACGAAATGATGCATTTCTTTTAATTGGAATTTCAATAAAATATTTCAACGTGATAGACCTTTTCAGAGATTTCGCATATCGTGCTTTCTCAAACAACAGATTGGACGGATTAAAATTAATGAATTTGTACAGAGTTAATGCTGGTGCATGCCACAGAAAAAGATGCTTGGTAACAAAGAGCATTGAAAAAATACTGTTTCCGCGAGACAAAGAGCATTGAAAAAATACTGTTTCCGCGAGACGTACGGTACATATTTCCTGTAGAATTAGTCACAACAAAGCGCGGTGTAACGACTCGTGTCTGCTCGCATAAGAGAGCAAACTACACAACAATGGCGCCGATTTAAAAGAAAAAAAGATGAAACAGAGATGATAATTTTCGCAAGAGTTGCGTATAAAAAAATCGCATGCTCGACTTACGCTCGTTTTATTAAATCATGCTAATTGTTTTCGTGTGAATTAGCATTCAGGCATTTTAAGATCTCTTCAAGGAAGACGCAATTTAACGTAAGATATAACTTGTTTACGGGAATCGACCCAAGATCCAGCTTGGAGATAAGTAAAAAGACGGGTTACGTTCCTGAATGCTTCGCGTTGCGGACAAATGGCAGAGAAAGAGGCGAAGCGAGAAAGAGAGAGCGCGAGAGGGATATACAGGAAGTGGTACAGCATTGCCGTAGGGAAGGACGCCGAATCTGGGCCACAATTATACGGAGGCCGATGTTGCGCGTCCCTTTCCTCGACGCAGACTTGGCGCCGCGGTTACACCGCGCGATTACTCTCGCTTTCGAAATAATAATTATTTAATTCCCGAAGTATACAACGCACAACCCGGGTGAAATGCGGGGTCCAACCGACGGAAAGAGAGAAAAACCGGTTTCTTTTCGGTCCATCTCGTGAGATGCTTCCGAGAGCAATAAAAATGCAAAAACATTACTCGCTTGTAATCTTCAAACCAAGAGCAGACTCGCTTCATCGAAAGGTATCGATATCGCGGTTATCGATTGTTATTTTGATTTACTCTATGTTGCAAAAATAGGCAAAAATAGTGTTTTCGAAATAGGAAATATTTATTAAATCACATATGCATAAATGTAACGTATAATATTTATTATTAATATAGTCTAGCTTTATAGAAAATAAATTTGCCAAAAATGTTTTATTTAAACAAAAATGATTACTTTAAATAATCTGTACATTTGAAATGTCATTATCTATATATTAAACATAATCAATAAATTAATTAATTCATTATCTATATATTAAACTTGTTTAAATTGAAAATATAAACAAATGATGAATAAAATGCCAAGAAAATGATAACAAAACAGAAAAATAATCGGACAAAAGAATTAATTGCGATTCTCACAAATTCCAACAATCGGCGTCAATCAAATCGCTCGATATAAAAGATTGCAAATAATTGCAAGCATAGCGAACATTTGAAAGATTTTGCCTCTAGAATATTCATTACAGAAATTCATTAGGAGAAAGTGGTAGAGCACAAAAACAGAAAGCGCTTAATCAGACGGCTCTTGTCTTCGGCGCAAAACTCGAAAATAATACACGACGATTCGGAATCCACGCAATCAAATGCAAAAATGGATAATGAACCGTTCCGGCGAATGCGTTCATTACATGTGACTCATTGAACAGCCTGTCGAGCACGAGAAAAGCTTGGATATGCAGCTGGTATGCAGCTGCTCGCTGCTGAAATGCAGAAGATATCACGCGCGACATTCCATGGGGCTACTGCCCATATTCGTCCCGTAACAAGCTTCAACTTATTCTTCCGCTCGAGGCACATTTCGTCCGATCTTGTTCGAAAATAATTAAACTCGAATCATTTATCATGAGTGAAAAAATAATTAAACTTGCATTTTAATCGGTTATCGAATTTTTCACAAATGCCTAGGTCTGAGATAATATATTTTTGTGTGTAAAAAGTCATGTCAAAAAATTTGAATTGTCAAGCCAAAAATATTCGTACGAGTTTCAGAGTATTTTGCGAAAATACATCAATCAGTCACCTTTATGCAGCAATTTTCCGCTTTGAGGAATAAGAATTAGCTTTCCTGCATTAGCACTGGTTGAAAAATGTCCAAACTACTCGAGAAAATCCAATCGTTCATCAGAGAATGCACTTAAACCGATCGATTGAAGCATTACATGTTCGACGAAGCATCACATGTTCGAACGAATCACATGTTCACGTTTCCCGTCACGAACGAACAAGCGGCCAGGTGAAAGCGCGACTATCAATGACAACTTTTTTAGCGTGATAACATCACATTCGAGAATACTCGCAGCCGCAGATGTCCCTGCACTCATGAACTCACATAAGTGCGACACACGCGTGACATAATCTAGGTTCGATGAGGCGCGATATTCATGCATGATGACATAACGTCTCGCTGCTCCTCGTCATTGCGTAAGATAACGAAGGCTGAGAGACTGGAACAGCGAGAAAATATTTTCTCGATGTTCGAAATCAAGAATCTTATAACGGAAAACTTCGTGAAACGCGTTGGCATTAATTATAATGCAATTAACAGTATTTTCCTGCGAAAAATAAAAAACGACGTCAGGATTCTTATAAACACCGATTACGTAATCAAGATGTTCAACGGAGCTTTGTCTTCCTGTTCCTCATTCTATTGTCGCGACCACCAACGTATCATTACATGCTGACCACACGCGGTGCAAATAGTGCGTATGTACATACGTATCGGGCAATTATGGTAACGATGATTTGAATAGGTAAAGATTCTCTCATTCGGCAAGAAATATTATCGATGTCGATTTATCTTGCACCTGGCATTATTACAACATATTATATAAAGAGAAATAGGGAGAGGGAAATTCGTGTTATCTATAATCACTTTATATCATTAAATTTAATCTATTCTCAATAAGATTTCTTGAAATTATTTTTAAATATTATTATTATTTACTTATTATTTTTTATTATATAATAGTAATTAAATAATATTTAAAAGTGATTTGAATAATAATAGTATTAAATATTTTTTTTTTTCAATTGAATTTTCAGGTCAACTCACAAATCAGTTATCAGTTAAACGATCTTTGATTAAATTTGTTTGGTTTAATCATCCATATTGAATGATTTAATTGAATTTACTCATTTCAATCGTCAATCGAATTAATTTCGATTGAAACAAATTCGGTCAACATTAATTATTAATCAAACAGCATTCGATTAATTTCGTTTCTATCAATCGTCGAACGGTTTCCGATTAGCTTTTGTCAAATTAATAATCATTTCAAAAGACTTTAATTAAATATAATATTTATATCAATTATTTAATCTTAACTATAATTGATATTATAACTTAAATATAATTGATACTTTCTCAACTTTAAGTATAAAAGTTAAAAAGATAAAACTATTCGTGCGAAACTGTGTCATTCTAAAGACGAAGAAGTGATCCATTTCTTTTTTTCCCGAACACCGTCGTTTCAAGGTGATCATAGCGCGAATTGCGGCCGACCTTCTTGCAAATTCTTTTTTTTCCTATAAACGATATAATTAAAACCTTCATCATCTTTCGCGAGAGTTCGAAAGCCCCCACCAATATCGCACTCCACTCTTTCAGATTCGGCGGTCGTTCTCCTTCAAACATTTAGTGATTGTTTAACCCTCTGTGCGACGCGACATTTATCCAACATAGGCTCGGCAAATCGTCGATACTTATTTTATTTCCACGATTTCGTCAATTTAGCAATATTTCCAATTCATATACAAGAATCTTCAATGTTTTAATTTCTATTTATCTTCATAACAATTTTTTGATTTTGAAAGGAAATATTACATCCGACGTGATAGAAGAAAAGAAAATATAAAAGAATCAACGACACGTGACTGAAGTGCCAGTATGTGAGTTTACGTCGTCGTTTTTATAGTAAATATCAGTGATAATGACCCCATCCATTCTTCGTAGGATGAGGAGGAGCGGTATGAACGGACGAGGAGTCGGCGGCAACGATAAAGGAGCACTGGTCCTGCTCCTCGTCGCATTCACTCCTGTTATCTGCTCCGCCGGAATCCTGGACCCTTGGCAGTGGGCGCGCAGCGATCGGATCGAAGTCAATATACCTTGGCTGCCTTGTAATTATCAACTGATTGTAGAAAATTCAGTCGTAGTGCAACAGTTCTAACGAGATAATGCTACAAGTATATTTTGTTTTCTCTCCTTTTTTTAACGCTCTTTACCTTTTTATGTTCGTTTATTTCTCTGACTTGTCTAAATAAGACTAATCGTAAGATAGACAGCAGGATTCGAATGAATATCGAGTACTTAACAAATTCAACGCGTCATTGAAGGGATGGTATGTTTTTTCTAGTCGAAAACGAGACGCGCTGCTACGAAGAGCTGGGCTGTCTGAACATCACCAGGAGCTGGTACCATCTTATTCACCGGCCCCTTAACGTTTTCCCATTGCCGCGGGACGTCATCAACACCAGATTCATCCTTTATACAAATAAAAATCCCTTGGACGTAAGTGGAGGGATAATATTTGAAATAAAAGCGCGATGTAAATATCGAAAGCTAGTCAATACGTTGCATCGGGTGTGATTCTGCAATGCAACAGAAGTGAAACCTGGGCGAGGAGATAGATTAAAATTCTACTACTACGGATTTCTCGAAAAAATATTCGATACGCGTAAATATTTCCGCGCACGTAATAGCTTATTCACATCTATATATTGCATTAGCAGTCTGTCCGATTTCTTGCGGGAATAATTGGACAGAAACGTGCATAGAAACTGAGAAATTCTTTCCTTTCTGAAAAAGAAAGAGAAACAAATATCCTGGCTCTTATCATATCCGTTCGATCGCGAGTGATCAGCGAGCCATAGGGTACACAGTCTCTGTGAGGGTATCTTAATTAACTGGATTAATTAAACAAAATTATGCAGCTGGCCAACACATAGCGCTCCGCGAGCGCACGCGCACTTCATTATTTCTTGTATACATATCCGTAAAAGATAAGATCTCTGATTTGTAATTTAATGGAAATTCTAGAAGGAAGCCCGGCTGTAAGACAGGTATCAAATACGATATCAGCGATAGAGTGAAAACACGCACACCTTTGTCACATAACGTATCTGTACTCGATTCTCGCATAAACTCACTGAATCGTGAAATTAAAAGAAACACTTTTAATACAATAAAAACTTTATATAATTAATAGATGCGGCAACAAATTATCTCGTAAATATATACAATTTTAAAAATTCATGATTTCGTAGAAAAAAAGAAATTCTTATTAATATTATATTTCTTTAATAATATATACATCTGAAAAATAGAGAATAATTCATGTTATTATTAGCACGTTATTTGTAGCAGTAGATTAATAAAAACTTTTGTACGTGTTATTTCAAAATCAAACTTATGTTTTAAATAAGCTTCTTGAATATCTTGATTGACTGATTCTTTTTAATAGGCTATCGAGAATTGCGAAAAACTCAATAACCTGGTTCGATTTTTTCAGGGTCAAATACTAAAAGTAGCCAAGGATAAGTCTATCGAAAATTCCAACTTCAATTCTAAACGAAAAACGAAATTCATTATACATGGTTTTATAGACACGCCACTCAGCAATTGGGTCAAAGTAAGTTTTATTTATATACGTATTTTTTATTTCGCTCGGTTTATACATATTCATTTATCCTGGATTTATCGAAATCTTGCATCACGTACTGCAATCAAATATCTCGTACAATATTAATCTTATATTATGTTCGATTTAATATTACATCATGGAATGAATCATCAATGAAACTACTAAAGAAACGCATTTTTTATCATATATACATTGCGTTAATGTTGCAAATAAATTTATGCGACCTAATGACATAGTTATGTCCAACAGCCTAGATAACTCTTAAGCAATTTGCGAAAATTATACCTGAAATATTTTCTAAATATATATTACCCGCAGGAGATGAGAAGCGAGTTGTTAGTGCATGGCGATTACAACGTTATCGTGGTCGATTGGGCAGGTGGGAGTTTACCTTTGTACACTCAAGCGACGGCAAATACGAGATTGGTTGGACTCGAATTAGCTCATCTCATTAAGCACTTGCAAGTAAGAAATACGCGCGTTTTCAACTAAATATTTACATATTTCTTTTTAGATAACGCAATATATTTCAACAACTATTAAATTAAATATCAAGAAAATATCAAGTAATATTTAAAAAACATAGATGTTTTCTTTTCTTTCTTTTTTTATATGATATTAATAAATCGACGATAATTGCAAAAATTCGTGATAATAATATAAAGAGAAAAAATGATTTCTATCCTAAATTTTAATTAACAATAAGTATAATTTCTTTATTCTTATTCTTATGGAATGTCAGACAAACTACGGCATGAATCCAGATGATGTGCACTTGATTGGACACAGTCTCGGTGCCCACACGGCTGGTTATGCGGGTGAAAAATTGAGTGGCAATATCGGACGCATTACCGGTTTGGACCCCGCGGAACCGTACTTTCAAGGGATGCCGAACCACCTTCGCCTGGATCCCTCAGACGCTCGATTGGTGGACGTAATTCACACCGATGGAAAGAGTATCTTTTTCTTAGGTAAACGCATTATATTATCTCTTAAACGTAATTTTCATTTGAATTAATCATAAAGCGAAAAAAGAAACTAAAAACAAAGAGCAATAGAATTCCATTTGAAAGATGACAGCACATGTATAGAAAATATAAAGTCACATATTATATTTTTTTAATAATACTGTAATATGTATCAAACAAAATTTGCTGAAATTAAAACAAATTGTATCTATCGGTAAAATTTCAGAAAAATATATTTAAAAAATAAAAGTAAATTGAATAATCTTTTAATTTAAAAATCAATCATATTTAGAATAAAATAATTTTAATGAAAATTATAACGAAAATTTATTAATAATTATAATTATATAATTATAATTTATTAATAGAAAATTTATTAATAATTATAATTATTAATAAATTTTAATGTCAGCAATTGCTACTATCTCTAATTATGAAAATAAATTATTTGTTAAAAAAAGTCAAATTGTATGTTCACAAACTAACATATAGTACACAACAAGGTCTTCCAGGGTATGGAATGAGCCAGCCATGTGGGCACTTGGACTTCTATCCGAACAACGGCAAGGAGCAGCCGGGCTGCACTGATTTGAGCGAAACCACGCCATCGTTGCCGCTGACCTTAATACGCGAAGGACTTGAAGAGGCCTCGCGCGTCCTGGTCGCTTGTAATCATGTGCGCGCGCTCAAGCTCTTCATCGAGAGCATCAACTCCAAGTGCCAATATGTAGCGCATGAGTGCTCGAGCTACGCAAGTTTCCTGCGCGGCGAGTGCTTCTCTTGCAAGAGCAACAACAGCCTAAGCTGCGGCGTGATGGGCTATCACGCTGACACTAGTCCGGCGCTTGTCAAACGTCAGGCCATGGGACAAGACGTCTCGTCCTTGCTCGGCTCCAAGTTTTTCTTTATGACCGGCAAGGAAGACCCGTACTGTAGTAAGTAAAAAGCGATACTGTCAGGACTTGTTTTTCTATTTGAGGAACCCATGAATGAATTCAATCTTCGAGTATCCAGATGATTCGCATAAAATGTCTTCAATCAAATCATCGAATATTTATTCAATATAATTTTTTAGCCAATTTTAGAATCGGTTTTTTACAATTCCCAATTTTCTGTACATATCTTTGTAACTATCTAAGTCTTGAATTCAAATTTTATAAAGTTTTATGAATTTTATTATATAAAACTTCACTTAAAATTAAGTGAAAAGTTGACTCTCCTAGAAGATGATAAAAAATCTTTTTTTCCCCAACCGTATTTAAAACTAAAAAATGATTAATGTCTTCATATTTTCACAAACGAAAAATCAATTTTAAATTAGTAAGAGAATCTATCTTCCAGATATCTTACATAATCTTCGAATATATGATATGTAAAACCATGCAATCATTTTATATTCGATGTCTTGAAATTAAAATAACAGCTGCTGTTTTTTTTCAGTATACATATAGTAAGCATTATATTTAGAAACATCATCGACTATTAGCTTTCCATTACAGAGTTCTCTTAAACTGACATTACGACATCGTAAAATATGTTGAGTTATCGAGAAATATCGCGTTTAATAAGCTTTAAAAATGTTTTCCATATGTAAACGTTAATATGATTCAATGTTTACTTCATCTACTGTGTACAAACATATTCGTTAATCCTTTGCTTTGCGAGAAAAAAAAAGGAAATACCGCTACGATCAATCGCTTACATTATTTTATTACATACCAGTCATACGCGATGCAGCTTTTCTCTATCGCGACTTTCTCCGCGAGCATGTGTTTCTCCGATCTGAAAATACTCTCTGATATCCACCTGTAATCTTTTAGGGAGACATTATAGAATCACCGTCAACCTCGCGCGACCGCCGACCGCGGAGAGTTGGGTTCAAGGCTTCATGAAAGTCACTGTTCACGCTGACAACGGCGTGATACGCAACATGGATCTCACGCCCAGGTAACTAATGACAATCAAGACTTGTTATCGGTCTCTCTTGAGATCATCTCCCACAGATTTTTCCTGTTCGATGTCAAGATCGCTATAATACCTTGTAAACTATTACTTACAATTATAATTCACATCAGATTCTTCTTCCAACAAAATACCCTGACGATGTTGTTCATCTCTTTTAGCGGTTACATGAAGCTGGAGCATGGTACGACCACGCGGATAGTCGTTGCCCATCCGACCGGTTCCATCGGCAACATCGGCAAGGTCAGGCGAGTGGAACTCTCTTGGGTGTACGATATGGACGTACTTCAACCTAGATCTCTGTGCTTCTTTTGGTGCAATGACCGTCTATATGTCAACAGCGTCAGCGTGGATGCCATGGACCTTCCAGGCAGAGGGTGAGGGAACGTGCAAAGGTGTCAGAAAAATGATGATCCATATAAGTTTCAAGATGCGATACCACATACGAAGAAAACGCTAATTTCTTGCTTTAAGAACGCATATTTATAAAGCATATTCGCACAGTTTGGTACCATCATTGTTTTGACATTCCGCGAAAAAAAATCACGTCAATTTCTTCAGAACCAGATTTTCCTGTATAATTTAATCTTCCGTTTCTCGCTTGTGTTTAGAAAACGCGAGGTAGATTTCTCCAGCAAGCTTTGTTCGACTGGCAGACAGGAATACGCGGAGATTGCGAGTGGATCCACTGCCACCTTCGTCGACAATTGCTGACGATCGTGTTCCCCGAGGCGCGAGAAACATTATTCGGCAGTAATTATAAAATGCCGACAGCTGCGTCCATCCGGAGACGGATGACTCTCGAAAGTCACGGGCAATGATGAAACGAAATGAAAAAAAAAAAAAACGCAGGGAGGGGAGAATTTACTCTGTCATAATCACGTAATTTCTTTCATCGATAATGTACGATGGGGGAAGAGGCGTTTTATGTCGTGTTTGGCTTGCTTTCTTTCTATTTATCGCGACCGATCCATCGCTTTCAAGCACGATCTCCGACTAGTAATAAACGCGCTTTGAACTCGAAAATCTCGTCGGACAATGAAGAGACTGTCAGTGGGGATTCGTCACTTAATCGAATTCCTAGAGATTTATTTCGTCGGCGAAGAGATCAAAAGCGAAACGAGATTCGTACGTGATAGAATCGTAAAGATGTACATTGGCGTAGAAAAAATATTTAGCTCGCTAAACGCGAAATTTTGACGGAAAAGTCTCTGACTTTTCTCAATTTTTTTTCTGATAACACGAATGGTTTTCAGTATTAATATTCGATTATGTTGTAACCCGATAATATTAAATATAAATTATTATTTTAAATCTTGTCGAAATATGAGTTGTGACAAAGTGAAACAATTTGGAAGACGATTGTCAAAGTGTCGAGTCAGAATTAGTCAAAACTTCGATCATAAGTTGTTTTCTAATTTACTACAATTCATTTTTCAGTATTATATAATTTATAATAATTTATATTACATCGGGTTATACAATTACTATATGTACATTGTATATATATATATAACATAACATGTAAAACTAATCTCTCTTTCATATGTGATTAGAGTTTTGCTACTGTAAGGCTCTTACTAAACCGTCGATCTATGTATTATATATACTAATGCATAGTTTTTTACGAAAGTTGTCATTATCATATTGTTTTTCGCGATACGAATATGATAATAGCTTGTGATATTCTTATAACTTTAGGAACCATGAGAAACGCGCAAAGTGCGGTTACTCAAGGATAAACTGTACTGAGTAAGAATTGCCCATAGTCTTTATAAATGAACTGTACAAAAAATATATAACGGAAGGCAATTTTTATTAGTACCAAGAGTACTGTTTTTGTAAACTTTGTTTTTATATCTATCTGTTGCAATGTAAAAAATAAAGGTTATATTAATTGTAAGTGGATAAAAGTATTGCATAAAAATAAAACAGGGATATTTTTTTTTCTAAAATATGTATGATTTGTTATATGGAACTTTTTTCGAGCGAAACTTTTTTTAGGAAATCTCGGGGAAAGTCGAAAAAAACACTCTTATTACTACAGCTTGCTAATCTTTCGCAGTGTTTACTCCTCGATAAAACGCTTTACACGTTAATCCGTCGCTTATACAAAAAGATCATCGCGGAGCGCAGCTATACACGGTAACACATGATTTCTTTTTTTATCTTACACGAGATTCAACAATGATCGAGTAAAAAAGCCGTCCACGTTTGTTCGACGTGGTAACAAGGGATTGGTAAAATATATATGATATATATAGCGATATACATAATATAATCTAATAATCTCTAATAATCTGTCGTATAACATAGAATCTGCATATAAATAATAAATAGGAAATAAGGGAGCGAATTGGTTGATTAGCTTGGATGGTAAGACTTTAGCACTAAATTACCGTTACGAAGAACATTTATATAGAGGACTATGGGAGAAATGGGTGACGCGATGGACAAACAAGAAGAGTGAAGATAAATTGAGAACAGTGAGAGAAAGAGATAGAGACAGAGAGAAAAAGACATAACTAACAATAGACGTGACTATACAGCTGATTCATTTGGCATAATAGTCTAGAGCGGACTTTTTTTCTAGCGCGATAGGATGCGGTCAGTGAAGATCATCGACCCAACTGGTATCTAGTGACTCGATGAGAGTACGGACGAAGGCCATCTCCTTCCGTGCGTTCTCTAAGATCACCCGAGGATCTTGGGACGTGCACCGTAATACATTCGGCGCCATCACCATCGCAAGATTATTGGCGTCCATTTTAGTGCGAGCGACCACCTCGGATCTAGCGAATATCTGGAAAATTGTTACAATTTCGTAACGAACGATTCATCAAAAGACATTCAACGGTGCCTCGAATGCATGCTGCTCGATTTAATTTAATAGCGTCTCGAATGTATGCTACTCTTGATTTCTCGTGCATTTTTTCATCGTGTGTTATTTCGTTAAATGTGTGTGTTGCTACATATAATGTGAACAACGCATATGTGCTAATTCTGAAATTCTTATAAAAGATCTCACCGTGCATTTAACGCTAAATATTACACATAGTTTAGACTTTTTTCAAAGTGTGTATGATTTGATGTAAAGAAAAATTTTAAATCATACAATTTTATATATCACGATTCTTTTATTGAATAAAATGAATAAAATTTCTCACCTGCAGAAAATGTATTAGATGACACAGCACGCGACGATTAAGATCCGGCAAACGATCGACAAGCGCGGCTACAATCGCCGCAGAAGCTTTTGGATCATCATGCCGCATAGATACGCATTCCACATAGAAGGAATCCGGTATCAATGGCTCGTACAGCTCGCGCACCCATAATTTCAACAGGGAAGCGGGTGCATGAGCATCCTGAGAAACTGCCAGAATCGCTCCATCCTCGAACCTGTCTAAACAGGATTTCAACGCGCTGACTTCATCCGCGTCTGCGGACACTCGGAAGATACCCTCGGTCAGCGTACCACCGCGTATCAACACCTGATGCGTCAGCGTAGTCTGTATCCATGGTAACTCTCTAAGTGGGAAGCGATCTCTTTGTAAAGCCATAACTTCCGAAAGCGTTGCACCAAACATAGACGCGCGAAAGATTTGTATCTGCAAGAAGAGTACAGAAGTATACATCAGACTCCGTAAGAATCATAAAAAAAACTAAATTAGTAGTACAATTAATTACCCTCGCTTGATCGATATCTTCCACTGTAGCCTTGCGAGGTTGTCGTTTTCCATGCGCGCCAATCCGTTGCAATCGCCTACAAGCTACGGTTGCATAATGGCTGACTTGTACGTGTATCGGCCATTTGGCGACCTCGGGGAATTGGAAGTTGGGATCGCGATGCCTATTCATGTAACCCTCCAGATAAGGCTCGAACGTAGCGCTAGGCGGCACAAAAGCCAGACACACAGCCATCAATTCCCATCCACGTCGTAAACTCTCCTTCCGTGGATTCTCCGTTGTTTGTCTGCAGATCTGTACGTATAACTCGTCTCGCAGGGGTGGTTTCGTAAATGCGGTATTCACAATATCCATGGCGACACCGTCCAACGTCATGCCGACATTGGCTTTGCGATCGCCCATATACACTTGAACCAATCGGAACAGATTGCAAGCCTCCCTCTTGAGCGGTTTTTCACCGTCCACCATCGCGAGCATGGGCTGAGGTATCGGGTCTTTCGACCAGCTGAGAATGTCCCGTACACTAAATTTCTTTCGAAACAACAGCCTAAGTCCCTTCGGCCTGCCACAGTTCAGATTGAGATTGTCCTGTGCGTACTTTTCTATGTCACCGCCGCCCGTACTATCGTCTCTTCGCGCTTCGTCCAAATCAGTATTATCGACATTCGTTGTACAAATACTCGGAGTTGAACTTACAGTGGGCATTGAGACTTGTCTCGTGGTTACCACGCTGTCTCTAGCTTCCGTCTGAGACACGATATTCGGTGGCGAGGGCGGTCGTGCTTGTGGCCTCGTCAATGTATCGGCGGTAGTATAATAAGTCGCTAATCCGGCGGTGTCGTAATTTCCTAAATCTTATATGAGATGGAATACATTAATTAAATTATACGTTCGATAAACACATATTACATATATTTTATGCTCTTAGAAATAATTCCTCACCCGCGTAATGATCTTCGAGATATTCTTGACTGGAAGAATCGCCTTGATTGCTAGCAGCTTCATCGTCAGCGAATTGATCATCAGAATCATCATCGCCTCTTCCACTGATACCTCCTTCACCCCTGCCACCTTCTTCGTCCAGAGAATCTTCCCCTTCCTCTACTAATAAAGGATCTCCAAACTTGTAACAACCTATGTATTGTAAGAAAAAGAAACAGAATAGTAAGAAACAAGTTTCATTATAAAACTCCACCATCAGCATTAAAATTCTCGGCTTTCATTACCTGATAATTTTGCCTGTTGAAGAATATAATGTTGCAATGGTAATAAGTGATCAGCATCAGCTAGAAGATTGCCATAAAACGGCGATGGTGGCGGACTGGGATTTCCATTACTCCTCTTTTTCTTGCTATCGTCTCCTTCGGCATGACCTTCAGTCTCCTCACCCGCGGCGCTATTGCTGCTGCTGTTGCTGCTGTTACTACTGCTAGTATTACTACTGAGTCTCTGTCTGGATTGTTCGTGGGTTTGACTTATCATTAAATAACGCTCGTGCATAGCATCATCATCCCGTTCTCTTCTTCTAACCTGCTGCTGCTGCTGTTGTTGCTGATGTAATTGTTGTTGCATTAGTTTTTGCTGCTGCTTTTGCTGTTGCACAAAACTGTAACTGCGACCCAGTGGCTGCGGTACACCTTGCAAAACAATGATCAACCATATTACAAAAGACGTACGCGCAGGAAGATGGCGAAAGAAGCTAAAAGATTATCTTACTTACAGTCCAGTGAGTTATTGCACGCTGTGTTTCGCCTATATTCCTTCTCTCTGTCACGGTCTCTCTCTCTCTCGCGCTCTACCGCTTCGAGACCACCTCTTTGTTTCGTTGAATTACCACCACTGTGTATGCCAGCAGCCCTACCGAGACTCTTGGCGGGATCGTTCCTTTCAGACAACATTGCACCGTACACATCCCTGACATTTGCCTCCGAAAGCGACGCCGAGCATCCGTGATGCCTTCTACCTATGCTACCTGTACCATCCTGTGGTTGCTTATTCATATTTCTCGAATGTATGGAACTTTGATAAAAGGCTGGCGAGTTTGTCTTGTCGAGACTGTTGACCCGTTCTCGATGATGCTGCTGTTGCTGCTGCTGTTGCTGCATCTCTCGCTCTCTATCTCTATGGTAACGATTGCCACTGTCCATTAAGGAACCATACTTTTCGCCCTGTGATTTGTAACTATGGCTAAGTTGAACCTCTGGAGGACGATATGGCGGCATTTCTTGCCTAAAGACTCGAGACTCCATCAGAGAATCGCGATATGGTGAAGTACTCGGTTCAGGACCGTACGAGCCTCTACTACTTTCTCTACCTGGAAATCGAAAAATATCGATTTATACATAAACAAAAATGTTGTACATTCCTATAACTTTTGTAATTACAATACAAACAATAATTATAATAATATAACATAGACATGTGGAAAGAAAATATTATATACTATTACCATTTTTACTTTTATCCAGGTCGAAGTTTCCCGCTCTACCTTCGCGTTGCGGATCGCTAAACGTCTTCTTCTTGAAGAGAGGTGTGCTGGTTGAAAGCGACAAGCCCAACGGCGGTGGTTCTCCCAGCGAGACAGACTTCTGATTCTTTACGCTTTCCAAAGTTCCGCTCTTGTGACATCTGGCCTCTAAGGTACCACTACTACTGTGCTGCCTGGGGGAGGATTGTGCGGTGCTCGCCGGCGTCTGGACAGCCGAACGATGATGATGCCTATGCGGCGAATCCAATAAACGATAACCGGTCGACTCCAAAGACGTCCTACTGTGCGAGACGGAACTGTCGCTGGATCTACCAGAGTCTTGCGAATGATTGTGCTGCCTGGTACGCGCCGCAGGTACGTCATGGTGCCTGTGATGCCTGTTATTGTGATGATGATGATGATGATGGTGTCGCCTCGTTGACGGAGACGGGGAAGGAGGAGAAGTTTGAAGATCTATGCCGACCGTAGAAGTCCGCGTTTTGTTCGCATTACCGAGAGAAAGAGCTTGCTACGAGAGAAAACGTAGCTATGCAGAATCTCGAAAAGTGTTGATGTATCGCATTAAGATAATCATAGAAAAATTAAATTTACCAAAGGCGGAGCCAAATTCGTATTCTCCTGATGGTTAAATCGCGTCGATCGACTAACTGAAGGAGTTTGTGTTTGCGTCGAAACCGATTCCTTCTTCCTCTGTTCGGTTGTCTTCTGAGTATCCGACGTACTACCACTTGCTGGTTCCGTATTTTGTTTTAATGTCTACAATACAAATATAAAAATATCTGAATAAATTAACGAATGCAAAATACAACTATATACTAATGGTAAAGTGCCACCTTTTTATAGATAATTGATTAATATGATAGTAGTCTTATATCTCTATAAAAAATAACGGATAAATGAAACGGATATTGGAAAAATAAGGAATATAGTGTAAACACATTATAAAAAGTAAATGTGTTTATGTATAAAATATATGAAAAATCATGATTTAAATCATTTATATACAATGTATGTGCGTGTATGTGTGAATTAAATATAATTTCATCCAAAAACTTTGTAACCCGTTATATTTCGGCATACAGGTGGGTCCTTCATAACATACCTACACATACATCGTACGGGACATCTGGCACTCGTATTCTCGTCAAATTTTAATTAAAGGAATAACATTATCGCGAAAGAAGTCTTATGGTATAGTAGCATGGTATAATGTAAACCGGAGTTTTTTCTCCCTGCTACAAACGTCTATTTATAGCTGAGAAGAGAGCAGACGCGCTTGCACACACTCTTATATCTATGCCACTTTAAGATACACAAGTTTAATGTGCGTTACCCGGAGAAACTCACAAATCATTACGCACACATTACGGCGCACGCAAGAGCCAAATACTCCCAGATTTTACGCGATCCATAAGCATGAGTATTCTGACAAATAGCAATGTATGAATACAATCTTATCCGTATTTTAGCGCTCGATAAGCTAACTTGTGCCATACACATGCACGCATATACGCGCGCGCGCACGCACTCCTACGTTTTATAGAAATAAATGTACTCATATAGACAATATACATATCGCATGAATGTTTCTTTTACCTGCAGTTTCGCCAATGGTATGATGTCACAGTCGGTCGGGCGATGCCACACGGTTTTCTGAGACGTCGCGTTATAATAATAAAACCGCGAGGTATTCTGATCAAATAACTCCCACCATTGATTGTTGTCCGTCTTTTTCCTACAAATCATTAAATGGGACACGCGTGTACTATGTGTCGTGATGTAGAGGAGGTGACTTGATACTTTCTCTCTAATATAACTTTCTCTAAAATAATTATACAATGGAACTGTACGATATACTTTGAGATAATTCATTAATATATGTAATTAAATTAAAAGCATGCCGAATATAACTGAGATTATACTATCTTATTACAACGAGATTTATTAAACTCAACAAGCTTTTAAACTATTAGGTGAGTAATATTACCTGTCAATAGAATTTTGAAAAATAATATAAATCTATTATTGAAAAACAGACACGGAATATCTATGGAAGACATTTTGAAATTAATTTTTTTAATAAATTATCTAATAACGAGAAAAGCTTTTGAAAAGAGTTCTGAGAGAAGATATTGACAGTGGCTGCTATCGAACAACAAATATAAATAAAGGAGAGGCTTACACAGGTACACCCGGTGGAGGATCCCATACGCATTCTCCGGTGGTTAGGTTAGCGTACATATGTTCCTTAGTACGTGGTTCTATGATCTCCACCCATTCCATCCTACTGCAATTGTCATCCATTAATATCTGCGTGTCCCGGAAAAACTTAACATCTACTCGCGAATCTGTATCATACCCTAAAGTAACCAGGGGCAAACTGTATCAAACCTTACGCAACAGCCTTTAAATCCCTTTTTTCCCCTTAAACTTTCACTTCTTACGGATTATTCGTGTCTTCGACAGGGTCCCTTGGATAAGTGGCGAATAAATATTTGTACATTTTAAACGATAATATCGGGATAAGGCGGGATCGATATGTCAAAAGTATACCGAGTGTAGCGCACGGACAGAAATATAATCGCGATGAAACGAGATATCGCGACAGCATACTCGTGTAGCTTCCATTTTTTTTTATTTATTCTTCCACTAGACACTTTGCGACGTCGAGACACATCGTTACGATTTCTCGTCGAGAAACTTTATTCAGGATGAAGGAGGAAAGAGTATCGCGGTCGCGATAACTAAATACGTATATACATGTTAAAAACGAGCGTACTACATCGATAAAGTAATTGGAACAACTCGAGATCTCGGGGAGAAAAAAATCACCCTCACCACAGAACGGGTAAATTGACGGAGACAAAAGGGAGGCTGGAAAAAAGTGGGAGGAAAATAGGGGAACCGTTCAAGATTCGCGATGCACGACGATACTTTCAGCCGGAGGCCAACGGAGAGGGCGATGATAATCGGGGCGCACGAAGGAGGGTGTTTCGCCCGTCCACCCACCTCGCCCCACCTAGCCCTGACGGACCCCGCAAATTGATAGGAATGCTGGGCCGCGGTACAACGAGAGAGGCCGCCGTCCGTTCTGATGTCATGCTGGCCGTTTAATTGGCTGAAATAGGCCGCGGTAATCCATTCGCGCGTAAATCGAGAGCGCACACGCTCGGGTGCGAGGAGGAAAGGAAAAGAGAGAACGCGGAATGCGGAGGAAGAGAAAAGAAAGACGGAGGCGCGATAGCGAGAGGAAAAACGGTGGAAATGCTTTGACGCTTTTGACGCGGACGAGCCTAAGCGCGGACTGCGAAAATGTGCGCGCAAGAGAGACCCGCCCATTCACGACGGCTAACTTCAGCGCGAAAGCGCCAAGGAGAAGCAAATTGTTCGGTTATCATCGAGAAAGACGACCGCGGTATCTTCTTTCTCTTTGTATGCACATGTACGAGGGAAAAAGAACACAGAGAGGGAAAGAGAGAAAGAAAGAGAGAGAGAGACTAAAGTATACGGACGAGGATGGAGAGAGGGAGAAAACTGGGACGGGTGACTAAAAAAAAATTCACTATCGATCTGCGAACACCCGTGTCGGTCCCGCGACGGCCGCGTTTTCCCTAGAATAACGAGGTGCGCTGCACTTCGGGTGCAATCGAGTCGCGAGACAAGTGCAATTTTGACGGGACGAGGCAGGCAGATTTTTCTCTCTTCGTCGCAGCCTTACCCGTCGGATGCCATCTCGCGTATCTCCGGTTGACTCGTCGTCGGCCGGCTCGTCGTCTTCCTCGTCGCCGTCGCCGTCGTCGCCGACGTCGTCGTCGTCGTCGTCGTCGCGACGAGTGCACCTCGATGCGCACTTGACTTCTTCACTTCACCTCACTCAACCACCTTCTTCTCCTCCTCACCCTTGCCCCGTCACGATCACCACCTCGCTTGACACTTCCTCACTGAGACGACGATGACACTCGGATGTCGCACCGTCCCATTTCCGCGAGCGCGAGCAGCGACGCGGCCCCTTCATGGCAGCCTCGCGGCGGCCATCTTTTTTTCTTCGTCGCTTAGTTCGTGCTTTTAGATCTCGCCGCGCCGCCCTACCGCCGCCAGCACTCCCCGCGGACAGTGACAAAAATTCGCTCTCGCACGCGCACGTCGCATGTGCCCTCTCCCTCATCCTCCGCCGATTTCCCCAATCCCCTCCTCACTCCTTGTCCCTCTCTCTCTCTCGCCAACGCGATTAGCTACGCGCAATCGAGCGAGCGATTAATCGAATTGCGGCCTTTAAAATCGGCACGATGCCGATCATGGAAATTGTAGAAAGCGATTTCATGTAATTGCGACTCTTATCGGGGAGATAGCTCATTAAAAATGACAATTATTGCGTACGCGCGATTGTTCGGTAATGATTCATTTTCTGAGGAAAGCGAAAGTTCGAATCGCATATAATCGTTGTTCTTTCTTTAATACGTCATTAATATCAGTATTATTGGAAATTTCTCGTACCTTTAGCATAATAATATCCTTGCCATTAATTAAAACAAAACTTGAAATTTAAATGGAAAATCCTGATGAGTTTCTCGACATGTCGATGCTTCCGCAAATTGGTAAAATAAACAGCGACATCTGTGAGATTTCGAGGAAAACCGCAACTCTCGCCCCTTCCTAATACTACAGTCACTGAGTCACTGCATTCGTGCAGATTCATATGCCTATCATGCCTCGCGACGTACTTTTTGTTGATTGCGAGTGCACGCATACTAGATACTAGGCTGCATGACGGTGTCAATGTATGAAAATTGACGTTTAAAGGGGAGAGGAAATTTGTATTTTCGGCCCAAGTGCTTTTTTTTTCTCCAAACCTTAATATCGCCGAGAGAGTGCGATCTATCGCGTCATTATGGATCAAGAGGATGTTTTAACGATACTAAAGATTCTCATAATAGGTGAATCTAATGTGGGAAAATCGAGGTACTTGTAAATGCGTCTCATTCCACTTTTTATACGTCATTAATTGAGATTAATCACGATGCAATGTCGCTTCCAGTATACTCTTGAGATTCACCGAAGATGAATTCTGCGAAAATATGCAAAGCACAGTCGGAATGGATTATAAAACCAAACAGATAACCATCGATGGCAATACAGTCAAACTCGCGATTTGGGTTTGTAATTGTAGTCTCTTGTGAAGAGAAAAGTTAACGTAATTATAACGTTATATATCGCGTATCTCAGGTTTATTAAAGCATATTCTTTTTATAGGATACGGCGGGCCAAGAACGATTTCGCACTTTAACGCCAAGTTACTACAGAGATGGTCAGGGTGCTATTTTAATGTACGATGTTACAGATCGAAATACTTTTGTAAAATTGGAGACATGGCTTAATGAATTAAATACATACTGCAATAGAACAGATATCGTCAAGATGGTAGTAGGTAATAAAATAGATCTGCCGAATAGGGAAGTGAGCACTGAGGAAGGTTTACAGTTTGCCAGAAGACATCAGACTTTATATATCGAAAGTAGTGCAAAAACAGCGGATGGTGTAAAGTGCTGCTTTGAAGAACTTGTACAAAAGGTCAGAATTTCTTACTATAATATAAATCTATATTCTATAATTATATACTTTACTAAGAAAGAAAAAAATATGTAATTATAAATATATATAATTTTCTATATTATGAGTAATCTACATAAAATGTAATGTTTACACAACAGATAATACAAACACCTGGTCTTTGGGATACTCACTCTACACGATTATATGACAATGGTACCATGACTGCTTCGAGATATCGAAGTGGGAAAAGGGGGATGCAGTTGGCTGCTAACTATCAATCTCTACCTGTTGAGTCATCCTCAAATTGTTATTGCAGTTTACTGTAATCATGGTGTTATGAGAAAGTGCATGTTTGTTAGAACAAATATATGCATAATATGTTTAAGGCTGAGACTACACAAAAAAAATCCGAGAAGCAACACAGAGGAGATCATATACGATATATCATCACTTCATACATGCTAACACTCGGGTCTTACAAAATTTACAATTAGGAAATAATTTTGTAAGATGCATATATTCACATTTACATTTACATCACATATACACATTAGCTATTGTTGGACATTAAATCTTAAATCTGTTGTAAATATTTATGGCATAGAAAATTAAATGAAATTTTGTGTTTGTGTGAACACATAATTAATATATTGAGAAAACAATTGTAAGTATTTAGTGATACATTTTTATAGGCCATAGATATTCTGTTAATCACAATCAATTTTTGTACAAGTAAAATTTGACAATTTTTATAATCTTCAATTTATTTTTTACATTATGCACAATATATGTTGAACACATTATTATTGTTACATCTGAAAAATGTGTATTATATTGTAAAAATGTAGTTAGGAATCTTGCTCTGTTATATCTATATTGTGCTCATTTTTAAGCTACAATCTCATTGGAATATGTACTGTGCTGAAAAAGTAGAGTATGTACTTCATAGAGAATTCACTATATAATTAAATAATGGTGATATTATACATAAATTCTAACTTATTCTCTGTATGTAAATAAAAAATTTTCTGGATATATGTGTTGTATATATCATTATTATTTTAATATAGGACAAATTTGTCACATAATCAATTTATAACAATTGCCTAAATAATTAATTCATTTATTTTGACATTTGATGCTATATCTTTATAAAATAATTCAAATTTATATTTTTATTCAATTTATATTTTTTTTAAATGTCTGATTCAAAAAATATAATAGACGAAAGTGGCTACACATTTCGTAAAACAAAACTATGTATAAAATTGACAAATAAGGGAATGTTTATCTGTGGCAAATGGAGTAATGAGAAATTGCTTAGCTTGCTCAAGGATAAACTTGTACAACATAATAAAATTAAATCTTTACCTGTGTGTACCAATGGGCAATGTGATGCATCATTTAATAAATTGTTGCGCTTTATTATTCATAGTGGAATATATAACGAATGTGTCTTAATGGAACTGAAAGGAAAAGGTATTACTGAATCTTTTTCCACCTTGGAATCTTTCTTTCATCATTTATACATTGAATGATAAATTTTAGGCATGTCGCCGCACAGTATCATAAAGGCAATCAAATATGGCCTTCTTAGTCTTACTGTTGAAGAACTGAAATATTTTCAAAGTTTTGGAATAGAAATGAAAAATGGATGGACAAAGGAAAAACTTGACGAGAAACTGATTTGGAATCTGATTATTACTGGATTAACTAAAAATCAATGTTGGAATATCATTATGTGCGGGCTAGTATCTCAGAATGATAATGTATTATATCGACTTTTATCGAGCGGCATTGATGTCCCAGGAATTTTGAGTTGGCCGGGAAAATCTAAGCCAATTACACCAACAATGATTCGTTTCTTAAAAGAGCTTGGAATGGACGAAGATACTCTTTGTTATGTAAAAGAGAATGGTATTGATGATGAGATCGAAGATATGCTAATTGATCTCGGTTATAATGATTACAAGGAAAAGGAAATTTCACAAGTAACTGAAGTATTCTTTTCTAAGTGATTTCAAAGATGTAAAACATATTACACACATATATATATATAAATGAATAATCTATATCAAAAGTTAAAATAATCTACAGGAAGTGTTGTGTAAATGCAGTCTGACTATATTGGAATCACATTCTACTATTCTAGAAGAATCTGATACTGCATCCGATAGTCCTTTGTTAAAATCATTTTCTTCTTGCAGTTTAAATAAAGTTCCTTTATCAAACGTTTCTATACAGTACAGTTCTGCTGCTTGTACCTGTTATTTAAATTTGCTACCAAAAGGAGAAGATGATGAAACTCTGAATAGAAACAATTACTTAAGGTATTTAAAAATAAACGATAAGAATTTAAGATATAATGTGTAATGAACTATATAATCCATGTACTTAGGCAAAATGTGATGGTGCCACTATCATGGGCAATAAGTAGAGCTTTACGATATGAGCCTTCAGATCCTATTCATTACATAGCTCAACAATTGTTACGTTGGAAATATAATAATGTTCCACAAGAGGAAGTATATCATGCTCAACAATTTGTCGCTTCTGCTACAATAATAATGGATCGAAGACTTATGGTAAAAATAGATATTTAATATTAATAATAAAATGTACCAATAATTTTATTTTAATGTAAAGATTTTAGTTCATTACAACTGTAATATTAGGAAAAACGGAAGCGTGAAGAAGAAGATGCCATTAGACTCTTAAATGAAGCTGCTATGAAAGATATTATTTGCAACCCATGTTTAGAGCGACAAAAATTATATCGCATTAAAGAGCGTTGTTGGAAATGTACAAAAGTACCAGTATCAGCACAAATAAAATAAATTTGCAAAAAGAAACAATATCACATTAAGGAGCGAAAAAAAGATAAAGCTTTTGAAAGATGTTTTGAAAATTGTTAAAAACTGTTGGAAAATAATCAATATTTCTTCTAAAAATGACTAGAGAAGACAATGTAAATTTCTTAAAAAATTCGTTTATTTCATATTTGGACTTGTACATTTATCAGAACAATATTTCAATGCGAAGATCGCATGAGAGTATTACGTGGAACGGAATGGAATGAATGTCTGGCATCACAATAAAAGATATTCATAATACATTCTGGCAGTGATCGGTGTTGTAAGTTCATTGGTACAATAAGGTACTAAACGCACTTTCTGATTTATTTAATCTTAATTATGTGTACTTGACCAAACATTTTTAACGCATCTACGACAATGGTATATGAGAAATGTGCTATAAGACTTATCTTGAAAGAAAAATATTCTAAAATATGAGATACTTATATGTCAGTCACCTGAAAATTCGTTACTACAGCAAAAACTCATAATTCTTCCACAGCTCTCTTTTATCACTTCATAATACAGAATTATTAAAATTAATATTATTTAATAAAAGACTTTATATTTAATAATAAATTATATAATTATATATAAAATCTATTATTAAAATAGATTATATATAAAATTTATTATATTAAAAATAAAATTAAATGATACTATCATCCTTCTATCTATTAAAACTAATATTTAATAAAAATTTTATATTTAATAATAGATTATATATAATCATATATAAAATCTATTATTATAATAGATTATGTATAAAATTTATTATAATAAAAATAAAATTAAATGCTTACATGTATCTTTTACATGTATCTGTCCTCTATCTATAAGTGACGTTTTACATAAAAAAAAGAGAATTATTAAATAATATTTCTATGAAATTTTAACGAAATGCATATCAAAAAATGTAAAATTCATATGCAACTGTTAAAATATTATCTACTTGGTTAATAGCTCACTCGCGTTATGTACAAGGATTATTCCTGCACATGTTTTGTAAAAACGATTTCTGCAGATGTAATGATTCAGGTACTACTGTGATGAATCAATGATATAAACTATGTGAATATGTAAATCGATTAAGAAAGGCAAATCGATAAAAATAAAGGCAGTTACTGCTAAATTCTATAATGTTCTCTTTCCAGTGTTCTCTCTTCCCAGTTTCTTCGTACAAATAACTATTTCCATTCTGGTGAAAATTACGACAAACTTCAATAAAATAGCAACGTATCAAAATATATCTTTTTGCATCTATCTTGTTTGGTCTATATCCTGAGCTGCTAACAGAATGGGTCTCAAATGTTATACACAAATCGACTTTCATTCGCGCGCATTAAGTAAAAACTGGAAGTACAAAGTAGAGTAATAGCTAATTCTATATCTCTCCTGGACGTTTTGTGGCGATCTATTGTTATCATTCCCGGATACTCCATTAAAACTGGTCAAACCGGTAGCTGTGACTCGCTGAAAGCGAGATTCTTCTTTCCGGTTCGATCATCTGTATAGCGTTGCAAATAGAAATTCATTTGCAGAAACGAGAAATACATTTTTATACCTTAAACAGAGTACACCTGCAGCTTATTAATCTTGGCCCTTTCTTCCTCGGTATCGTCTCGGCAGATCATAAGCGTATGAGATAAACCGCATGTAACTGCGGTAATGTATAAACCTTCCAAGGCTTTCACCTCCATCGGAGTTGTCGATGACTTTCGCATTTCACCAAAACCCTAAGATAAAATAAATTATAAATTATATCAATAGGAAACAATGAGAATATCCTCATTTACACACAATTTGAATATATAATTCTAAGACTCTATGTATTTTCTCAAGTATTTGTAGCTTACCAATTCTCCGAATGTAGGACTAGCGCCCCATGCAATAACGGAATCATCGGCCGCGACTACCACGCTTGTCTGTGAGCAACCGACGCATCGAATTTCCCAGCCAGATAAATCCTGAATAGGCTTGGGATACATGTTAGCTTCGCCCGTGCGCTTGGTTTGACCGAACATTAAGGCGGAGCCATGTACATTGATCGCGATGCTGTACGTGCTACCGCAATATACCGCACGAACACCGCGACTAGGTGGTTCCAGAAATTTAATCAGACGCGGTACCAATTCGTCGCGCTGCTCGTTGTGGCCCAGACGGCCGATCCCGCCAAATCCCCAGGAAAACGCACGATTCTTGCTGTCGATGGCGACAGTGTGATAATGACCGCAGCTAAAGTCCGTGATCTCGACGCGATCTAACGGTATCGCGTGGCCATCCTTGCCTCTCTCGACGTACAAAACAATACGCTTAGGCACTTTCTCGTAGTGAAATGCCATCTTTGTATTCGTGACGAAGTATTTACCGTCTGTATTGTGGCCTAAGGCGCCGTACTCTGGGCATCCAAACGAATGCAGACCGCCCTTGATGTCGAGGATCATCGAAAATTCCGCGCCGCATCCCACTTTCACTATCGGCGGTCCGGAATACTTCACCTTGCTGGCGGTCACAACGCAGGGGTCATTCTTGCCGACTCCACATTGACCCAGTTTATTGTCGCCAGCGGCAAAAACTATACCACGGCTCGTCAAAAATAAAGTATGATTGCGACCACATGAAGCTCCTATAATTGTATGTCCCTTTAAGGCTTCGACTTCAGTCGGCTCGTCGCGACGTTTTGTATCTCCGACGCCCAATTGACCTATTACAAATTACAAAGTCTTGGTACAACGCAATGGTGCTGTAATAATGATAAAAAAAAAGTAGCAACATATATAATAAAAAATGTAAAAAATAAAATGATATTAATACACATTAAATTTGAATTACTTTTAATATATTAGTATAAAATTATGATGCAACATTTATTCTGTACCAAAGTATAATATGCATACAGATTTGTTAATTTTTAGAAAAAAAGTATATTCTCTTATATATATAAGTTAATTCTGTAGCACATACATATAGCATATAATTTACCTTTATCATTTCTACCAAATGCTAAGCATTTATCATCCTCAGTAACAATAATACTGTGGGAAGCAGCAGGACCAGATGCAATTAATCTTATTCTTGCATTATTCAAGTTTTTAAAAGTATGCGGCGTCCACAGGCTGCGTCCTACATTTGCTTTTACTCCTTTAGGTGGTGCTTTGCGACCAGCCATTTCCCAATTAGTAAGGCCACACATGAGCAATACACCAGGCTTACCCCAGCCACCCTAATAAGAAAACAGATTTCAGTTATTTTTTGCTACATTTAATAGATATTTTATGAAATGCATTTTTTTATAAATTTAATAACATGTAAGTCTTCATATATTAATTTAATAACATATAAATCTTCACATATTAATACTAGATAAATAAAATTTAATAGCACAAATTTTTATATTAATAGTAGATAAACAAAATAAGTATATTCAACTTAATTTTTATTTGCAAAGATTAATTGTATAGTAAAAATTAAATATTTTTTCAATCTTATAGTTTGCAAAATAAAAACAATTACAAAGAATTAGAAAATTAATGCAATTCTAAAATATCACCAAAATTAACATTGATCACATAAATACATATTAATTCTACATACTTAAATATTCGATATTCTCGAAAGTATTAATAATAATTGCTAATTCATGACCTGATTAATCCATCGTTTAAAATACAAGACAATGCAACACGAGGAAACGAATTGTACTCTTCGCGTCGCGTCCGCGTCGCGGAAGCGAGTGGGAGGCGTGCCTATAGAGTTTTGGGGAGAAAAGAAAAAAAGGTCCGAGTCTCACCTCCGGGGCCGGCAGCTCGGGCATATCGGAGACATCGGCGAGCGTATCCTCGGCGACCTCGCCGGCATCCTCGCCGTCGACATTAGATCCGGCCTCGGCGTCCTCGACTTCGGATTCGTGCTCGCTCGAAATGTCCTCCTCGTCGTACTCGACTTTGCGCGACTTGGGACGGTTCTTGGACGTGCCGCTCGGCGTGCTCTTGCGCTTGGTCGACATCGCCAACGACGCTCTTCGTCTCTTAGGTGGTGAGCGATGGTGAAGAGGGAAGGTCGATTCGAGAGGGAAATTCGGCGGCGGTCTTTTCACGCTCGCGGCCGTCGCGGTGACATTTATCGATGTAATGGCGCTGAGGGAGCCGTGCCGCGCCGCCGACAGCGGCAAATCTACAACAAAAACGCGGCCACCTGGCGCTCAAAAATCATAATAAAAGCACGCTCCCGCGGATAAGTACATACATACATACATACAGAGCGAATCGCGCAGTTTATGATTGTAAATCGCCGGGACTGGCGTTCCGCGTTTCACGCGTCCCGTCCCGATGGAACGTCGCGGAATCGGATCGACTGGAGGTGGGCGGGAAAATTCGAACGCGACGCGCCTTCGATCCGAATCGAGAATACTTCGTCAGAATACACGCACAATTGTTACCGTCGAACGGAGAATGTGACGTGAGGTGAAAAACGAATGGCGGCACGAAATTCGAACGTGACACTTGACAGACGTCAGACACTTGAGCACGTGCGATGCGCTTAGGTTTCGACACATGCAACAGGTTACATTGTATTATTATGCGCGAACGCGCTGGGTGACTATACTTTGGCGCAGCACGCTTAGATTGAATGCTAGAATGCCAGATTTGAAACATATCAAGCTAAACGGGAAATTTGCTTTCACACGTAGTTTTCTTTAGATATATTATTATTAATATTGTTAATATTATTTTATTATTGTTATTACGATATCCTTGTGATACTATTATTAATATATTATTTTATAATTATTTTATTATGATACATATTATAATTAGCATTATTATTATCGCAAGTTGTATACCAGAGCACAGAATACTATTACAAAAACTATTACAGAATATTGCTGCAATATTCTGTGCAGTATGGGGTGAAAATGTATAATAAAAATAATGCAAATAACAATTTATATTAATTCGCTATAGACGCACTCTTATAAATTCTCTCTTTATTATCGGTACGTGTAATTTTATTCATTTGAATCAAACAAATATGATTAAGAAGAAATTTAAATAAATGTGGAAAAGATGAGTAAGTATTCAGAATCATCGATATCATCGGAGATCTTTTATCAAGATTCCATTTCGTCATTTATGTTGCAATCGAATTTCGTGGCTAAAGATTACTGACATAATACAAAGAAGAGATTATACACGATCAAGATTATTATCTCGAAAATGAAAATTGAAAAAATTCCATCACATTGTCGATTGATAAAAGTATAAGAAACTATGATTAAATTGCACGCGTATTCTAGAAGATGAAGCAGAGATAAGCAAAGGTACGAGTTATATAGGACAAGTACATAATCTTTTACAGTAATCTTTTCTATTTGAAAAAAATATATCAATTAACCAGATTTATCAAAGAAACGTAAGGATACTTGTAATTGCGCGTTTCTTCATATATACTCAATATGCAATAAAATACTATATAAAAAAGTTTATTTTCAATAAGAAATACCAGATATTCTTGATTTTATGTAAATTTTCTACAAAGTCAACGTAACATTTTATAAAATTTTATAAAAAAATATATCTTCAAATATTTAAAAAATTTTTTATATTTTCGCGAAATATTTTTTTACATATTACTCTATAGTCGCACAATAATGTTGCTGTAAAAATATTGAAAGTTAAAAATGTTACATGTTACTGAATAACGTATTGTAGTGATTTTTTGCTTACCGGGATTATTTTTATCACGTTCTCATTAATGAAAGAAATGAAGATGAAACATGACGAGCGATGGCAATTTGTTATCGAATATTTCCATAGATTGTTTGTCTTGCGTGACGTTGAATTTATTTGTGTGTTTGTATTTATGTCCATTAATCGTGTTTGTATTCTTGACGGCGTCTGGCTGGTTTAAAGACTGCGTAATCCCGTCGTCGCCAAATGCCAAACAAAAGCTGTCGAGCAAATAAATAAACTCAATGAGCGATTATTGCACGTGATAAGGTAGCAATATCGTCGTAGATTGTTTTGGGATATGGACGAGGATATGTGGACATCGTTGTACATATTCAATGAGACAATTCGGTCTTATTTGCTGCTGTTATATTTCGCAATATCTGTTGCACTTTTACAAACAATTTATGATATATGCTGACACACATTGTGCAAGACAAAAAAATTCAAATTTATTCAAATGTAAACTAATTATATCATGGAATAAATTTGTTCGAGTAGAAAGCATCATATACTAGTTATATTTAATTTGTTTGAATTTAATCGAATCTTTAGGCTCCAATTTTGAGTTAAAATTAAAGATTAATAAAATAAAACGTGATTGATAACAAAAAATTGAATTATTATTTATTAAGAATAGAAACATCACGAAAAATATTGCTATCTTATTGTAATACAATTATAATTGTGCCTTGATATTTTTTTGAATTTTCGATATCATCCACGCTCTTATTGACATCGATAGTTTCTTGCACATATCGCACCAAGCAAACAGGAACTAATAAGCGATTTATTTATCATCTAATAAAATCAACAGACAACAAATAGGTGCGGGTTTGCGATAAGGGATCGAAACGGAAAGATACAGAGTAATTTTACTTGGAAACTTTTAATAGAGTTTTATTGCATATATTGTGTATAATTAGTAACAATAAACACATATATAATACATGCTTCGCAGCTATTATTTGTGCAGTTACTTTCTTTATTCAGTCTAGTCATGAGATTTCTTATCACTCACAATGAGCCTCCTATACATGAAATAAGAATATATTATTTTATTATAATTTCTTTGCAATTTCAATAATATCATGATAAATGAAAACATATAGGAAAAATACTTACATATTTCATGTAAGATAAAAAAATATCATAGACCATCGTCATAGCATTGATGTAAAGTACTCGATATTGCAAGGGCACAAAGAGGAAGTTGATGCATTGTGTAGGTGGCCAAAAACAACAATCAATCTAATATACAACATATATAAATAATATTGCAATAAAAATTATTTATACGTATATTATTATACATTATACATTATAAGAGAAAATTTTCAGTATATAATTCCGCATTTTAATTATTATTTAATAATTATAGATGTATGTTTTTTTATAAGATTATTAAAATGTTAATTAGCACCAAGATAGTTTCCTGTATCATACGTACTTTCCATGTATTGTAAAACTTCAAATTCAGTTCCTTGCAGATCTCCTCCACTTTGCGATGCTCCATTATTCCGAGGCCAACGAAAAAAATTGCCAGGCACGTAGGACTCGCGATCGATTGATCGAGAAGCGTTTTCTTAACTACCGATTTTGCGTTTTTACCCGGCAAAACTCTGTCTAAAATCATGTAAAACCAATGGTGAAACGGGCCTTGAAGCAGTCCGACCACTGTCATATTCCTTGTTCTCGTGTAATCGTGCTTAGGCGCGTTGGAAATTGCTGTCTTTTCGTCCTCCGGCGATGCTGCCATAACTCTAGTCGGAAAATATTTCTGAGAATATTTCTTCCAATATTTACTGTGCTGCTGGATTACATCCCCTGTTGCCATCATTAAACCGCAGCTCACGGTATTGGTAATTAACAGATATTTACCTAGATATATTATAAGATGCAAAATTATAAATTTATTTTACTAATAAAAATAGAACATTATAATCTAAAAGCAAGAGACAAACTTACCAAACAATAGCTGACGCAAAATACCCATTTGTAAAGAATTATATTATAAAATCCTTTTTAATTGCCTTTATAAAGCCTATATAATTTGCTATATAAACTTGGATTGTTTTAAATTTCGTTATTATAATAGAGATGAAACAGATTGTTCGAAACGAAAGCTTCTGTAATCGCAAATATTTCTTGTAAATTATATATATGCAAAAAAATATTAATTCAAATATCTGTTTTCTGAATCAAATTATTTTTTTCGAATCGCCATATATGTTATAAAAATAAATGCGTCGGTAGGATAACGCTCGATCCTTGACTGCTTTCGTCTCTAAATTCGTTTTTCTTCTTTTTATAAATTTGTTGTTATTTAATTAAGCGATTCTTCTTAATTCTTCGGTGCTTGTGAAGACGGAATGTTCGCTGGATAGATATGCGTGGCATAACTCTCGGACTGGCTGATTGAAGATTAATCGTCTTCAGGCGCAGTATAGGCGGACGCCTCTAAATGCACGATAGAACTGCACCAATCACTCGAGTTACCATCATGTATCCAACTGTACTGTTTAATGAGATCGCAAGTCCGTTAAATATACGGGACGCCGCGGCAATTAAAAATTCCGTTGAGGTTGCGCAGTATAAATGACGCGTCTTATCTCTTCCCGATCGCGTATTTCTTCAAATTTTCTCTCTTGTCTGATATGATATAATACACAAAGATACAGATTTATCAAAAGCTCATCTCACTGTTTATAAAACTGTTTTAAACGCTACTCGATATATTGATAGAAAAATAGAACTATGATAAGAAGAGCCTTTCCTTCGATGTACTTGCGCTTAAACTATATCTTATTTAAACATATTAGTATAAAAATTTTAATATACGAATTTCCTTTCTATAAAACCAAAGAATTAGAAAATTTAGATGGCGTAATAAAAGTATTCGTAAAACTAGAGATTTAATACTAATATAGAACTTGTGCATTGTAACTACAAACATTTCATGAAAATAACGTTTTTATTACTGATGCATTGATCCACTCTACATCTGTAAAACTATAAGGAATTTTTATTAAGATAATGATTCATTTAAAATTTTTTATTGGTAGTCGAAATACAACTTAATTAAACAAGATGGGATATTTATGCATTATTTAGCCGCAACAGCTTTAGGTTTTGGCAAGCCTTCCCTGAATCCATTCCTATAGATATAGATATGAAATAGTTACAAAAATATATATATACATAAATTATAACATAGATTAAATAATATAAAACATTTCTCTCATTTATAATTAAGCTAATATAATTTATCTCAGCTATAATTAACAAATAAGAAAGCAGCAAAAAATTGCAACAAAAAATCTAATCTTTTCTCGATTGATCGTTTTAATATTCAGTAATTATTTTTAGATTTTAAAAATTTAGCCACTATGACTCACTTGAATTTACGGCGGACAATCTTAAGATAACGCATACGGCCAGTACCAGTGGTCTTCCTCCTCTTTGCCTTAACTGACCAGTTGTCTGTAACCCAATAAAATTCCAATTAATATCATTAAATTTAGAATATTAAAATATATTCTCAAATAGACATATGATAGTCCTCTATGTAAACTTATCATGCAACTTACATGAACGCATCTTCTTGGCTGGGTAGCCACACTGAGCACATTGCGACTTTTGGATGTGGTAAGAACTACGTCCACATCTTCTGCACAATGTGTGCGTCTTATTACGCCGTTTACCAAAACTGGATGTACCCTTCGTCTGTGAACATTAAAAAAAAACACACGGTGAATATAACCTGCAACATTGGAGTCAATGTCGAAATTTGACTTACAAAAAAAAATGGACAGCGAACGTTACGATCAATAAATTTTTATTTTTTTAATATTAAACGAACAAAGTGAAAAATGAATTCTATAGCGTTATTTAAACGTGTCTGCGCATAAACATTATTATAACCTGTACACTGGTAACGTGTCAGTATATCAGATCAAGATTTTTTCCTCCAATACTATTCACTTATATTAATTCTACTAAAATTCAAGACATCTTTTTCATGCCGATAAATCGGCTAATTATTGAGATGACGGCGAAATAAATTGATTTGAACGACACAAATTTATCTTACCATCTTGGGCAAAGGATCTGCAGGAAGAGTCCGAGTCCGATCGTTCCTTTAATCAGGCTATTCCGAAATTCCCTGTCATTTCAATTCCCTTCGTTCCGATTCCCTAGAGTGCGTTCAAAAATCCTATTCTTATGACTGGAACTAAAAAAATTTCTTGATTTTAATTGGTCAATCAAATGCCATTTTAAGAATAAATTTTGGAACATAATCCAATGGCGAGATCAACGAAAATTTTCCAAAAGAATTATAGAATCCGAATGCATTCTAACATAATTTCCCGGCTGTTTGGCAAAAATGAGAAAATTAAATTTAATTATAGAATTATAGATAAAACTATAGATTTATAGTAGCCTTGTAGTATTGTTATATAAATAAGAAATAATTAAATCGATTGCTACACAAAATTAATTTAATTATAAATTTGATTTAAATTAATAATTTTGTAAATCTCTAATCGTCTAATAAAATTAAAATTTTATTTTTCTAAATTAGAAAACTGAAAATCTAACTTATAAAGTTAATTATATTATATTATACATATATGCATATATATAATATATACATATAAAATTATTTCATTATTTAGGGTTATCAAAATTAAACCTTTTCTTTTTTGAGTAAGCATTTATTATTAATAGTATATAATTAGAATTCTATAAGCCTGTCTGCATCAGTGAGCACTTCCCGAGAATGTTGACTGCCAGATGTCACAATATGTTGAGCTCCGACTAAGCAATCCTTCAATTCAGTACCTTCTTCGATGGTACAACCATTACATAATATACAATTATGGATAACACATCTGAAAAAAGATGGTAGAGAACTTGTAAGTACTCATATTTATATTGAGGAGAAAATCTCCTAGACATTACTCATATTGAGGAGAAAAATCTCAATCAGGATACTCAATACTATTTTGAACTTACCTTTGTTTAATAGTTACATGTCCCATTATCACGCTCTGGGATACCCTTGTTTTAGATTCTACAACACTGTTTGACCCAATATAACTGTGCTTAAGCGATGTTTTCTCTTCAATAGTCGAATTATCATCTACGTAACATTCCTGCATTTGTGTACTATGTATAGTCGCTGTGCTCGAGATATTTGGCAGTAGCGCCAATTGCTCGGTAGTTTTGCCATTAGCACCCCACCATTCTAATATCTATACAAAATTCTAAAGTTAATACTTTCTCTTTTTTATGTACTTGTAATTTTTTATATTTTTTATATACTATAATATATAAATAAATTAATATATATAAAGAATATATATTAATATATATAAGAATTAAATATACTAAATTATCTTTATCATTAGAAAGATTAATATCTTACTTTAGCATTTGCAAAATGATACATCTGTACAGTGTTTGCTCTAAGACCAAACTTTTCATTTGATATATGACCATAACATCGTATTATATCTCCATAATATGCTTCTTCCAAATCAGTGCTATGATCATTGAATGCTGACATTTTTCTTATCAGTTTGTCTAAAGGTTTCTCCACTGCAAATCGAAAGATATCTTCCTTCAGGTCTACTTGCACCATGGAAGTATTTCTGTCATCTACAGACTTAGGTCTAGATAACTGTTTGCTAACTATGTATGGCAAAAGTTCACCCTTCAATGTAGTAAAGTTTCTGTGGAATATTTTTCATTAAGTTTAAATTAAATTTCAAATATTTCTCATTGCTAAGATTTTACTCACTTATTATATACCAAAAAGTCTAACACCCATTTATTAATGATATACAAATGTGCATCCATCAATTTGGAGTGAACAGTGAAGTTAGTATGTCTCCTCAGGAGTCTCTGTGAGATATTAAATGTTTCCTCAAAATCAGATGCAGAAGCCAAGAAAACTAATCGTCCTGTGTTATTGTCGATACCAATTAAGTCTGTCTCTGGTTTCTGTTTACTCTTTGGACCTGGTGTTACAAAGTCATCTGGTACTTTTGGGACAGGCAGCATAAGAGCTGTTATACTCGCATTATGTTTTCTGTATAAATTCAAGATTTTGGATATGTCGATATTTGCAATCAAATCGCAAGATATCACCAAGAAATCTGTATATATCTTTTCATGAATGAGTCTGATGGAATCGGCTGTCCCAAGATCCTCAGCGCCTGGGATTCCTACAATTTCCAACTTGATTTTTAAACCCAACTTATCCAACGCCGCTGATACTTCAAATTTTGTTAATTCAGAAACCACCACAATCGCTTCCTTGAATCCGGAACGCTCGAGAATTTGCAGAGGATACCAAATCATGGGAACGTTCGCGATTGGGAGCAAACATTTCGGTTGACCTGCCGTAAGTTCTGTCATACGAGAGCCTTTCCCTCCGGCAAGCACGATGGCTTGAAACTCATTGTAATGAACCATTGTTCTCGTGTATGCGAGAGAGAAGCCTACAATAATCAAGATAAGAATATATTATTATAAAAAGCTTATTTGTAAATAACAACGAAAGACAATACCTATATCAATACCTATAGTACCTATAGTAATACCTATATCAATAAATGTACTAATACGTATTAGCTTATGCTAATTCATTTCAATGCGATGCAGTCAGATTATTTGTTCCAAGTCAAGCACATCGGTTTGAAAAAAACAATGATCATGGATACTGAAATTTACGACTACGTGAAAAGTCTCCCAACGAAAAGACTGAGCACGCGATCAGATGATCGATTTCACGCGGCCATGTGTTCGCATTACGTTCTAACCTAAAAAAAGTAACAGATTCCCCTAACCTAAAAACCGACGAGTCTTTGAAGACGAATAGCGTTCTTGGCACGATGAGTGGCGAGTCCGCGGAAAGTGTAATCACGGTGGGCATCCACGTGATAGTCAAGAAGCAGAGCTTCAGTAAAGTATACAAGGTGTCTGAAAATGGTACTCTGATGTTAGGGAAAAACCAGAAGGTGGAGATGCACGAGATCATCGGCAAACCGTTCTGGAGCACATTTGAGATGGTGCCGAAGCATGGCAGCAAAAACACGTACTCGTTGAAGCTGGTGGAGCGAACGGAGTCGTGGGACGACCTGAAAGGCGAACTGAGCGGGCAGGACAATCGTTTCATCACCGACGATGGTACGTCGCAGAGACTGTCAAAGGAGGAGATCCTGCAGTTGCAAGAGTCCGGAAAGAGCGGCAAGGAGATAATCGGCAGTCTCATCGAGAACAGTACGTCCTTCGTGGCCAAGACTGAGTACTCGCAGGAGAAGTACATTAAAAAGAAGGAACGCAAGTATTTCAAGTTCCTGACGATATATAGGCCTACTATCCTGTCACTACACGAGGTGTATTTCAGACAGAATCACGACAAGATCGGCGGTTTGAGAATGGACTCCCTGGCGCAGATATTGTCCTACAGCGATGTACAAGCTGATGGTTTGCACATGCTCTATGATAGCGGATGTCAGGGATTACCCGCTGCAGCTATGCTGAATAGAATAGGCGAAAACACCGGTGGCTACTTGATCAATTTCCATCCAGGCAATGTTCCTCAAATCGCGATTGTTCAGGCCATGAATTTTCCACAGGAGTTAAAAGATAGACATATCGCGGTGAATATTTATAGTTTTCTGAGATTACATTATCAAGGTGAATCGAGTGTATTAGACAATATATCCTCTAAGAAGATTACTGATCATATAAAAGAAACACAAAATATTGAGGAATCAGCAGAAAAATCAAATGGAGAAACCAAGAATAACGAAATGTCCCAAATGAACATTGAAATTTCAGAGCTTGAAACTGACACGAGAGAAAATATAGTCTCTTGTTGCAACACTGAGAAAGGTACTGATACTTTGAAACGGAAACTCGATGAATCTGAGGAACCCGAAGAAACAATCCCTGCAAAGAAGCCAAAATGGTTTTTGGAGACACAACGTGCTTTGGATTTATTGAACAACTCAAAGGCTCGTGGTTTGACTATTATAGCGAAAGAGCATCCTTTAAATATCGTAAACGAGCTATTACCTTTTCTGGGAGCCTCTCGACCATTTGTCATCTTTCATACGTATCGAGAGCCATTACAAGAAACTTATATGGAACTTAAACAGAAACGCAATGTAATAAATGTAAAACTGTTTTCGAACTTTTTACGTTCATATCAAGTATTACCCGACAGGACGCATCCTGATATACTCACTAGTGACACTGGTGGTTACATTTTAACAGGATATTTAGTTCGATAATAGCGTTTAATAAATGCGTAATTTAAATAAATTTTGATATGGAAAATTGAACAGCGTATGTTTCGATAAAGATGTCAAAAGATAAAATATATAACATCAATGATGAAAAAATTATAATTTTTTAGATAAATATAAATAATTCTATTTTACATGTATTTACATTTATTATTGTACTTTCCTATACATTTTATAATCTGCAATAATTCCTTTTTTTAAACAATCAATTTTTTAGGAGCTACATTATCCTTTTTAAAAACTGCAAGAGAACTTGCTTAAGTTCTATATATATTATTCAAAAGTAAAGTTAAAAAGCAAAATAGAAAAATAATAATCCTTTTTTCCATGTATGACAAATCGAAAAATTATCACATGTTGTTATACAACATTACAATATTTATCAAATTATATATTATTTCATAATATATTGTTTATAATATGTATTGTGTATTTATTTCAAATTCTTCGTAAATATTTGTACGAAATGCTTGTATTGCTTCGATTTTTAATTTTTTTTTCTCAACATTTTATAAATTTTACTACAGCTTTTGAATCAAGAAACTTGCCAAACAGAAAGACGAAATATTCTCTTCCTGTTATTTTCTCATTATAATTATTTTACAAAAATCGCGTCCGCCAAACAGAACTATATCTGGCGCCATCGCGCGCCATAATCGGAAGAATCTTGTTCGTTTGGCCTTCTCTCCGCACTCTGCGATTTGGCGAACATTGTCGGAATTCTCGGAAGGCCTCCGTTCGGAGGGTCCTCTTCCACTCTCTTGTCTCTTACGTGGAAATTGAATCGTAGACTCTCCACAATCTTGTCTCGGTTGAATAAAATTACGAGGATGCCGACGAACAGTAATCGCGTAACTTGTACGCGAGCTCTCCCGCGGGCAAAACCGTTCTCCTTAGGTTAGAAAAAGATCGGAGGAAATTCGAAACACCTGATCGTGCGCGCGACAATCTCGAGTTGCAAATTAAAATTCGCGAGCTCGCCGATCCCCGATATCGCGCTATCTTTCTTCCCTGTTTTCTCTCCGCTGACAGATAACGAGTTCCGCGTGCTTACATCATCATTAACCGTCATTGGTATTGCGTCAAGTTTCGCATTGCTGTGTAATAATCGCGATGGCCACTTGGGACGGCTCGTTCCCAGACGATCCGAATTATTCCGCCCGAGACGCCTGTGCCACGCGAGACAACTGGATGTACCTCGACGACAACTCGGCATATCTGCAAGACGTCTCCGCGAGGTGCTACTATCCGGGAGCAGGTGGTCGACCAGTGTACGAGCAGGACGGATCCGCCGACCCTTTCTATCAGCATCCGTCGAATATGGTGCCTTTAGAAAATACCTATCAGGAACACATACTGCCAAGCACGTCGTCCGTCCCAGGCGGCTCGCAAACGTCGAATAATTCGCATAAAGCGCCCTTCTTCCGTGACAATCACAAGCCGAGATCCAAGGGCAACAGAACGATCAGCTTGACGACATTCACTACGTCAAAAGGCGATACCATCCAGTCCAGCATAGTGCAAAACTCAAATTTACACGCTACAGCCAACGAATTCGTGCCAAACAGTATTAGATTGAATAAGAAGGACAGATTTAGTAAAAAGGACGATTATAATAACATGGCTGGAGGTAGTTTTGATGCGCAGGATTTCAGGCCAAGATCATTTCACAAGTATACATCAGATAATAGATACAAGGGTGAAAGACGCTATGATAATAGAAGGGATGTAAATTATTGGCAAAAGAATCCACAAGATGCACAAATACCATCAAGATCTAAATACAGGGATACTCAGAGAAATGGGAGAAATTACAATAAATTTCAGAATGGAAAATATTATAATAGAAGGTATCAATCAGATGCATTATATGTTGAACAATATGCTGATGGAAAAGCTCGTACACCTACAACTGAACTCAGTGATTCGTTTGATAGCAAGGAAAATAAACCCTCTGCTAAAGGATTTCAGGAGAATGACTCGTCTTCAGATGTTGGTAAAAACAGAGAGGGTACATGCAAGGATAATGACACAGAGAAAAATACTTCCTTGCAAATTCTTGAGACACAACGAAATAAATCTAAGCAATTCACTGACCACACTAATGCATCTAATTATCATAAATATAATTATAAATATAAACATTATTATAAATACAATTCTGATGATGTACAGTCTGAATCTGATAATAAATATAAAACTGCAGCTACAAAGTATATGCATAAAAAAAACAATGAGGTGACAGCAAATCACAAAGAGAGGAACTTGGAAAATTGGAGAGATAAGACAGAAGATAACGAGATAGCACGAGTACAAGGAAAAAATATAAAGAAAAAACATAAAATTGGTAAGATTATACAATTTTTATCAAAATTAAATTATTATATAAAACAATATATATATATATATATATATATATAAAATTATTTTATTTTATTCTTGTCAGATGATGATGCTAGTCAAAGGGAAAGATTGACAGAGCAATTGAACAAGGGAATATTAGAATGTTTAGTTTGTTATGAGCATATCAAGCAAAGTGACTATGTTTGGTCCTGTAGTAACTGTTGTCATGTATTACATTTAAAATGTATTAAAAAATGGGCTAAATCGTCTCAGAGCGGTAAGTAAGAATAATACTTCTTCATAATACTTCTTGTTGTTATGACAAATTATGAAATATGAATTTTAGAGAACAGTTGGAAGTGCCCAGCCTGCCGGGATATTAGTTTTCTCGTACCAGAGGATTATTTCTGTTTTTGTGGAAAGAGAAAGATGCCGGAATGGAATCGTAGGGACGTGGCACACTCGTGTGGCGAGATCTGTGGTCGAAATCTATCCAAGAACAATTGTACACACAAATGTAATCTGCTCTGCCATCCCGGCTCTTGTCCACAATGCGTGACGATGGTGACCAAGTATTGTGGCTGCGGAAAAATGTCGAAAATACTGCTGTGCAGCGGTCAGCAATTATTGCAGTGCGATTCGATATGTGAAAAGAACTTGTCATGCGGCAAACATACCTGTCGGAGAAAGTGTCATCAGGGAGAATGCGGGCCTTGCGACAAAACCGTGCAACAAAGTAATATTTTTGTGCTCTAATATATATTTCATTTTTAAGACATTATATTAAGATTGTAATGGATAAAAGTTAGCATGAGAAATCAATATATAATTGTAATACTTTTGTTTTTCATTTTTGTTTAGCCTGTTTTTGTGGTAAAAATACTCAGGAGGTACCTTGCCGAGCTAATGTCACAGATACATATTCCTGTAATAATATTTGTAACAAACCATTGGATTGTGAGAAACATTATTGCCAAAAAATCTGCCATTCGGAAGCATGCGAACCTTGCTCCTTGACGCCCGAGAGAGTCACGACGTGCTGTTGTGGTCAGACACCATTAACAGAAAAGAGAGAAAGTTGCTTGGATCCTGTGCCTACCTGTGACAAAATCTGTTCTAAACGTTTGAAGTGCGGCCAGCCTAGTAAGCATCTGAAAAATATTACACACTTTCCATTTTATTATCATATCAATATATTTAGTACATGATTTTGTTCGCGCAGGTAATCCACACATCTGCAAGGCACTATGTCACGTCGATGAATGTCCGGACTGCGATTTGAACACCAATGTCAAGTGTCGATGCGGTAACATGGACCGCGAGATCGCTTGCAAGGACCTGACGAGTAAAGCCGACGATGCGCGCTGCGAAAAGCGTTGCAAGAAGAAACGATCTTGCGGCAAACATTACTGCAATCAGCTATGTTGCATCGATATCGAGCACATCTGTCCATTGCCATGTTCGAAAACATTGAGCTGCGGTCGGCACAAGTGTCAAGAGAGATGTCACATGGGTAAGTTTTATTGCAATCGTATATTCGTGCATAGTATCGGATCGCAAGGCGAGAAACGAATTTCTTCTTTCGTCGACAGGGAGATGTTCGTCTTGTTGGCAGAGTAGTTTCGAAGAGCTGTACTGCGAATGCGATGCTGAGGTGATCTATCCACCAGTACCGTGCGGGACGAGAAGGCCCGCTTGCAATCGACCATGTTCCCGCGAGCATTCCTGCGATCACGAGGTGCTGCACAATTGTCACAGCGAGCCCACGTGTCCGCCTTGTGGCGTTTTGACTCAGAGATGGTGCCACGGTAAACACGAACTTAGGAAAGCTGTACCGTGCCACGTAAAGGAGATCTCGTGCGGTTTATCGTGTAACAAGCCACTGACATGCGGACGGCATAAGTGCATCACAATGTGTCACGCCGGGCCGTGTGAAAGACCCGAACAACAATGTATACAACCTTGTAACACAACGAGGGAACTGTGCGGACATATCTGTGCTGCTCCATGCCACGAAGGCAAGTGTCCAGATATGCCTTGCAAAGAGATGGTTAAGGTAAGAATAACTCATTATATATCAAGTAATTAGAAGTATGCAAAGAGAATTGCAAGCATGACGAAATCATTCGAGAATTTTTACATCCTATATCTTTTATTATATTGCAGGTTACATGTCAGTGTGGACACAGAACTATGAGTCGTGTTTGCGCGGATAATGCACGAGAATATCAACGAATAGCGAGCAACATACTAGCCAGTAAAATGGCCGATATGCAACTCGGTCATTCCGTCGATTTAGAAGAAGTATTCGGGCAAGGCGCAAAGAAACAGAATCAGCTAAAGACCTTGGAATGCAATGATGAGTGTAAAACAATAGAGAGAAACAGGAGACTTGCACTGGGATTACAAATCGTCAATCCTGATTTGAGCGGCAAGTTAATGCCCAGATATACAGATTACATGAAACAATGGGTCAAGAAAGATCCGCATTTTTGCCAAATGGTTCATGACAAATTGACGGAATTGGTCCAAAAAGCGAAAACATCTAAGCAGAAATCTCGAAGTTATTCATTCGATGTTATGAACAGAGAAAAGCGCCATTTCGTGCATGAGTCATGTCAACACTTTGGTTGCGAGAGTCAAGCATATGACGAGGAACCGAAAAGAAATGTCGTTGCCACTGCTGTGAAAGATAAGGTGAGAGATCATTTATTTAAGTTCAACGCATCATCTTTATAATAAATATATCCCATTGCAGTGTTGGCTACCAAGCTATAGTTTATTAGAAGTGGTGCAGCGGGAGAAAGGACAAAGAAAAGTTCCAGGACCGGTACTTAACGCTTCTAAGGGAAATAATTCTACAAAGTAAGATATTTGCGTTCACAATAGTCATATATTGTGATTAAATAAAAATACAAAATATAATTATATAATTGTATTGTAGGACTGTTCTTTCGTTACCCGTAAAACAGAATCAGAAATCATTACCATCACCATCAACTGCAAAAACATCTGATAAAGAGATAGATTACTTCGACTATCAAGGATGAATCGGTAAATAATTAATGTATAGCATACAACTGTATAATGAGCTGTATAATGTGTATCATAAATGAAGTTCTGATACAATTGTAATTATACAATGAATATGGTGATTTTGTAAGTAGAAATGTAAAACATTATATTGTTATCAGTCATTTTCGATTTGTTTTTCTTTTTTTTCATATTGAATGTAAGTTTTAATTAAAGGCAAATTCATTAGGTTTATACTATAAAAATTTAACAATAATAGAAAGGTTTTTTATGTCTATAAAGATTTTGATGGATTAATTATTAGCAGGAAAGATATTATTTTATTATATAATTTCCAGAACATTTGAACGATATATTCTTGTTAACCCTTTCGTGACCAGTGGGATATATATGTCCCACATACAATTTTGTTTTCCCACTGGAACGGCAGTATACTAGAAAATAAAACAGTTATTACAGTAATACAGGAAATAAAAATTAATTCGGTCACGAAAGAGTTAAATAGAATATAAAAATGGCATGCAAAAAAATGTAATATGAAAAGAATAATCAACAATATACTTCTTTTTGCTACAAAAGAGAATAGTCTCTAATTTTTCTTATTATTCCAAAACTATATATACTCCTTAAACTTAATCTTTAATATTACAAAAAGTTTTCACTACTTTAAATCGATTTTGCATATTGATATAATATATTAAGTACAACTATAGATTTTTGTTTATATTAAACAAAGTGTTCAAGTTTTTTTTCTCTTTATTTCTACACAATTCTCTTTTCTTCAATAAACCTTTTACATACTTGTTAATTATAATATTGATATTTCTTAAATATAACAATATGATAATCTTTACTAGAATATAATAAAGTAATATAAATGATAGCGATATAAATGATAAATTTTTATATTCTATTTTTGACTACTCAGCTACTATAAGACAAATTCTACTACGTATAGAACGTAGATGTACAAAGTATCTAAAAATCAACTGACATCTTTTTACTTGGTCAAAGTTAAGTATTGCTAAGAATAAAGTCAGTGCTCTGTAGGTGCTATATGATATAAATTGATATCTTTTATACTTTTGGGTATCTCAAGAATGTTTTCAAGAGGCATTCTTTTATAATTCATTAATAAGAATTATGGCAAAATTGATCTTGATTGAGACTGTAATATATTATTTTTTAAATATTTATTGTAATTTACAACTTTATTTGATATAGGTAACTATATTTAATTATATACCCAACAGTTATGTGTGTTAAGAAATTATTAACTTTTCTAATCAGATATACACAATAAAGAGCCTTTATTGGATGAAAACTTTAACTATTGTAATTGTGATATACATTACAATCTTACATCAGTAAAAATAGTGATTTTATATATATATATATATATATATATATATATATATATATATATATATTAAAATTTCAAAGTTCTTATCAATTTGATTAAAACAATAGTTATTTTTGTTATTGTACATCCAATTGTATATAAATATTTATCTATGTCTATAGTTTTTTGTAGAAGAATTCTTGTTAGAATAATAAGATTTTCTCTTGTAAACATTTAAAATAGTTAACACGAGTATTTGGCACATGAAACATCAATGATAAATTTTAAATATATATTACTCTACTCTTTTATTATACTATATATATAAATTTCAAACAGATAGTATTACTGAGAGACCTTTTATGCTCCTGTAAGTATTATTACTAGATTTCTCACTTGTTCTGCCCACATAGCATCTATGTTCAAAAGACATTCACAGGACATCCTGAAGATGTCCAATCGTCCGAAGAGATCTTCTGGATACCTTCTGGACGTCTTTTGGATATGCATGCTATGTGAGTGGTTGTTCTACAGTAAGATTATAACGGAATGATATATATAAATAGAATTAATATATTTGTGTGGGTATATATATTTATAACGAAAAATATACATAAAAATTAAAATATGTATACATAACAAGTATGTATACATAAAATATTAATAAATAAAATGTATGTATACATAAAATATTAAAATATTTATACATAACAAGAAAAATATAGTGGTATATACAATATCACATATGAACAAAATAATTTGGTCGCAAGTGTCTGCAGAAGACATATTATTTAAAATTATAATAAAAATTATAATAAAAAAATTTAGATATAAAAATGAATGTCTTTAATGCGCACGGAGTTTTCAGAAATAAAATAATATTTAATTTACCTTAATGTAAAGCAAAATAAAATAAACACAATTACAAAAAAGTCTATATAGTGATATAGTTTTGTTTTTTTTAATCGTAAATTGATTTTTACAGTCTTTTATCTCACGGAATATAGTGTTATTTATAAGCTTACATAAGCGTAAAATGGCCTCCTATTCTAAACACATAAATATGGTATCACATATAGGATCACAACACTGTTACAAATTCCACTTGCAGATAAGTTATCTATGTCATTTAGTCATAGTGTAATTTTGTTGAACATTCAATAATAGGGCACTTTGAGAATTTGGGTTCGTACTTTTTACTTCTAAGCATTGGTGCGGTTGTAAACACATAGTAAAAACGCGGTTTTTCATGTGTTATCCATAAAAGTCATCGATTATTTTTTAACATTTTTGTTCATATATGTACATATACGCAGTCAATTTCTTTTTTTGCCTTTTTTTTGTTTTGCTTCGAAAATATTCCGCATGGATTATATATGAGTTAAAAAAATGATATATATTTCAACAGCAGAAAAAATATATGTGTATATATATATATATATATATATATATATATGTATATATGTATATATGTATATATATATATCTTTCTGCAAAAGAATATAGTGAAAGTTATTAAATTAATTAATTGGAAACCTAATTTAATGTAAAAAATAGATATCTGTTTTGTGATATACATGCTTCAAATGAACACTTTGCACGAGAAGTGGATTTTAGAAATATTACTATTGCACCAGCTATCAGATGTGTTGTCTAAACACATATCTCGTGTTTATAAAATGTTACTGATCTATTGCTATGTTTTTAGCACATTTTACGAGACTCTGTCTCGTCTGTCATGTATTGGTATCAATACCTTTTGCACGATTTCTGAAGAAATTGCTACCAATTCATGATAATGACTATCTATGTGAAAATAAGAGTATCATTAAGAGTATCATTAAATTTTATATAACACAATTCTTTTCAATTAAAAATATTTCAGTTTTAGAACAAGCATTAAAGAGAATAACGAATGTAAATGTATTGTGATCAAAACATTAAAATACATATACGATATGTTTGAGTATGTGCATGCGCACAACATGTGTGTATTCATACAGATATTTTATTCATACATACATACATACATACACACACACATATGTGTGTGTGTGTGTGTGTTATATGTGTATTATCGTGCTCTATTAAACACAAATATGTAATGTATATCTCGATATCCCGATCATAGTACATTTATATTTGTTATTTTTTTTAATGTTTGTTCTAAGGTTGTTCGAAATTTTTAATGGAAAAGAATAGTGTTATATATATATAATATGTACATAAAATTTGATTATTTAAAATAACCAAGGAATTACATCACAAAATATATTAATTGTCGCGTGAAGGAATGATATTAAAACTTAGTAAAATAAACGAGAAGAATTATCGTTTGGCATCTTCATTCTTTGAATTACGGCTGAATGTACTATTGCTTTATATGTAAGGATTGTTTCCTCTTTTTACACGCGAGGAATAATTAGGATAACTACTCAGATATTGATGTCGCGGACTTACTGACGGTTGTTTAGTTACACTCGCCATAGCACAGCCCATCACAAGTTCAAATGCTCTTGATATTGTTTGGTATAACAGCCATGGCCACGGCTTGGGAAATTGCGTTGGTGCCGGCTCTGTACCATATTGTACAGTTTCAGCGAAGAGTCCTTAAAAACAAATTAATTGTATTAGTATTATTATAAGAGATATTAGTAAAATATCTCGAGTTTATTTTTGTTATTGTGTTATTTTAATTATATTTAATAACTATATTAAATACCGTATGGTCCAAAAATACGAAAGGCATCCGTGATGCACAAAAGTATCCCTAGAATTGCAGTGGCGCGCGTGACATTTAATACTCTTCGCACCTGAGACTTTCTGGCAGCCGCGGTGTCCGCTTCTGGTATATGCAACGGTGTATCGGATTTTGCTCGATTCACATATGCGATGTGATTCAATATCGAGTGAAGAGTAAAATCCGTGCTCTGCAAATAATATTTTATTATTTTATCGTGAAGTTCCAGCCGATAAACCCTCTATAAGTGTATTTAAAATAATGTCGAAGAATGCGTGTTTTGTTTTCGATAAATTGAATAAGATAATAAGTCGTACCATAACTCTTGCTTCGTTAGGCGTTTCAGGAAGCAAGTTAGTTTCCGCTGTAATATTCTCCGGGTCTTCAAGATTTTTGTCATTCCATGACAGATTCTTCTTGCGCGTTTTCGTCTCTTCATCTTTGCTCTTCGAGTTATCTTTCATCAACGCCGCCTTCTCGCTGCAATCAGGTTGATCCGAATCTGATTCGGATTTCTCCTGTATCTCCATCTTTACAGGTACTATACTCTGAAAGTGCGTGGGACTCCTATCCAAGGTTCTGATGCTGATATCGCTACTTCGACGATTTATAATTAACGGCTTAATATGAACGAATTCGGAGTTACGTCGGTAGCAGCTCTCGGAATTTCTACGCGAGTCAGGTCGAGACGATGCAAAGTTACCAATGTCGGAACTGCGTCTTGAACCTGAAATATTATCAAGCAATAAATAAAAGAAGGTATCTATAAGATATTTTAAAAAACACCCATTAAATATGTAGCGTTATTCCTGACCAATAATTGAGTTGAAAAGTCCTGAATCATTTTTTTCTATAATGTTTAATAAAGCAGTAATTATGGAATAGCCGCGCGCTTGATAGTACACATGAACGCATACTAACAGGCGCGCGGCTCGTTGATGTGCGCTCGGCTAAAAAATCGGCTGATTGACGTGATTTTACTCCATAATTACTGATTACTGAAACATTATAGAAAAAAATGGTTCAGGACTTTTTAATTAGATTTTTGATCAAGAATAACATTGTATACTTAATAGGCGCTTTTTAAGATCCCTGTACATCTGATTTTTATCCCTATACATCTGATTAAAATTTCAAACATATCTAAATTAAAGCATGAATCTTGTATTTTATATGTGATATTTACCCACAGGGCTGAGATCCAGAACTTTAGGCAATCTACCATGTTCACTTTCAAGCGGTAACATTCTTCTAGGTGTCCGATTACCGAAATCGCTGTTCCTCCTGAGCTTAGTCGCAAACTGTGAACCGCGATTCTTCTCATGGGTAAAATCGGAGCAACGTCTCAGTTCTCTGGTGCTACCTGACGGTGTGATATTCTCCGAGTATCGTCGAGATATGTTGTCGGGTGAACGGCTTCTCTCAAGCGGCTCGTCTCCTCGTGCCCTTGGAAAATGCCTGGGACTACCTTCCGTCATACGTCTGCATTCCGTGATCGGGGACATATCATCCTCGTTTATGAATCTGACGCTACACTCCGAGTTTCTGCGTGACGATCTGTTGGATGTATCGCTACCTCGTCGGCTAGCCATTGAACTTCTGCGACTCGGACTGGACACAGTTATAATCGGCAAATTAGCGATCGATGGGGTGGGAGTGGGTGGTCTCACGTAGACCTCCGGTACTGCCGATTTCTGTTCCTGCGACGGTGATTGTACAGTGCACGCGGGTACAATCGTAACACGAGTCGCTTCCTTCCGTGCTGGTTCTTCCACCTTATCTGGCTTGTCCACCTTGGCCGTGACTTGCGATTCTGAAATCATAAATCTCAGTCGGATCTCTTCACACTTGGAAGAGAGATTCATAATAAAGTATTACCTTCTTCCGTGACCGTGACAGCCTCTTCCGCCGCTTTTACCTGCGTTCGCGGGTTCGGATTCCTCCGGACTCTTCATCTTTGGACCAAGTAAGGTCGGTACCAGCGCGGCAGCGACTGAAGTCGCCAAATTGCTATACGGCGCTAACATCGCGAGCTGCATGATACCTGAATCACGAGTAAGAGTGATTCAGATTAGAGACAAATGACATGAAAATGGAAGAAAACGGCAGATTTTAAAAAAAGAAGAAAATACATTAAAACTGAGATATATAAGAATAAGATAGAGTCGAATGGCAAGAGGCAGACCTTTCTGATGTGCGTTGGAATTGTCCCGTGTCAACATGCTGTTCGGCATGGTACGAAGCAGATGATCTACCTTATAAGCCGCGTGCAGGAACGCGAGGTACAGGAAGACACTCGATACGAGAAACGCCGCTTGAACCACGTATTTCGCCATGTAGCAATTATGGGAGGACAGAGTGATGTCGCTGGCGATTATGAAGAAGAAATGTGCCGTTATAATGAGACTGAGGCAGGATTCTTTTTGTATCTTCTCCGGGCCAAATTTCAGCTATTGCAAGATACCCATGTGAGAAATTTCTAATAACAATTTATATTCTACATAAAACTTGTTACATTTTAATATAAACACCTTTGTCAGTTGCAGGAAAGCCAATTGTATTAGGCAAAAGGCAGACGCGATACACGGATATCCAATGTCCCATAATATCGACCCGATGACCTTCGGCATCATCTCCTTGAGATTGTATGGATCTATGAACAGACATGCTGCTCTCGACGCTCCGAGTAAACATAGGAATATATTAATCGTAGACATAAACGGCCGGCTCGATATGAGAGATCTGTATAAAAAGAGACAATCTCGAGGTAAATATAAATATTCCCTAATGTCGTCGATAGATGTATACGGACGTACCTTAAATTTAGAATAGAGAAGAATGTATAAAACCCAAGTACGAAGAAAAGGCATGCAAAACCATACGTATGCAGTAGGAACATCCATCTTAAGTCTTGTTGTACCGAACTCCACGACGGAGCAGTGACCAGTGATTTGTCTAGGATTGCAGAGTTCGACGAGTTTGATACGCAATTTTGTCCGGCAACAGGCGTTGGGATCGTTACGTTTACACCTAATTGGCAAAACATTCGAGTGAGAAACGATGCGTGTGTCGTAAATATTCTCTTGTGTTTACATAAAGTACAACAAAATGCAATTTATCCCATTAATTGTTGCACATTTTTTTCTATGTAATAATTGATCGCATTTAAATATTTATAGTACGCAATTTTCTAAACTTCAGTTTTAATGAAACATACCATGTTATTCAAAAAATTTTTCGCGCTATGATTTCGACGTCAAAAGTTCGATTATACGTTTTACAAATACAAAAATAACACTACTGCTTATAATATATATATATATATATATATATATATATATAGTAAAGTCTATGTATATTAAACATTAAGATATAATGAAGATAACTGACCACGAGTCCAATTAGCCAGCCTATTCATAATCCCTCGATATGTCCACAGCACATCACTGAATCTTGTAGCGTCAGTTAGTCTTACGATAGACAATGTTTAATATGTTGCCGTCTTTAATGTAGCACACGACGTTCCGCGGGATGACGTTGGTGAAATGTGGGTAGCAGCAACAGGCTTTACCTATAGAATGGCTTGATTCACGCACCCCTTCTCACTGAATACAGCCACTGTCTCCCTTCAGTTAGGATTATTGATCTTAGTTGAAGAGAGGGTTGGAGGGGAGGCACTTATATTGCCCACATAAAGCACCTGGCCTGCTGGTCAGTTGTTTATCTTTAGAGTTTAAATGGAGCAGCGTTAAATTTATCGGTCTATGTTATGTTATGATTCACACCGGCTTTGTTATTTTTGTAAAAGGGAACTTCTGTCTTAGTTTTATCGACGTTTCCTAAGAATTATAAATTCCAACTGCGGCATAAAAGAATACTTCGGAGAACATACAAAGGGGATAAAAATAGTTTGATAATATATTACATATTGAACTTTTTTATTATACGAGATAAATCTTATCCTGTAATCACAGGGCATCAGCTTTTAAAAAATCGATGCCTAACAACTTGAGGAGACGAGGAGAAAAGAGGGAAACGCGATATAAAAACCAATACAGTATTTTTGTCCAAAAATCCTAAATGCGACATGAAATCTTTTAATTCGGAACTTATGAGCGAGATTAATATTTCTAAATGATATAAAAATTAGCAAAAATATAATTAAAACAAGAGAAATTATTTTCTATATAAAAAATGTATATCTATTTATTATATCTGTATTATGGGAATAAACATATTATAAAAATTAAATTTCTACGAATAAACATATATAAATTAATATAAATTAACAGAGAACTATAAATGTAAATTAATATACAATATGTTCAAAACTTATGGAATAAACATTATATTATTTATCAACATATATTAATACATTATCCTAATTAATATTCCTGTATTATTTACACTTACTTTCTTTTTAAAAAGTTTTGAGAAAAGAATATTTATTGAATTTGTACACCACTTAATACTTAACTTTTTCCAACAACAAATCACCTTATATGATATTAAATGGGCAGGATAGAAATACGAAGTGACATATACTAATGAAATATTTTTTAAATAATTTCATCTAGATAATGATTTTGTAATGAAACATAATATATATATATATATATATATATATATATATATATATTTAATATGTATATTAAATTTATATAATATACATATATGTATATACAGGTATCATATAGTATATAATAATGTTATCATATTAATATCATATATGGCTTTGTGGAAGCTGTCTTACATAAAAAAAAATTTTTCACTTCCCTTAATGTAGTTGACAGGCTCTGATTGCAATCAACTGCAACAGAACGAATATAGGACACACAATTTCCGAATATTCCAATGTGTTTTGTGCAGAGAGTTTTTTACATAAAAGGTATTTAAATACAAAGATCAAAAGCAATGATAGCAGGCTCCATAATGCTCGTAAAATGCCTACTTTGATCATTCCTTCCATGTACATTCTGATGAATATTATAGCGCAAAAGTATGTATTGAGACCATCGGCTATAAAAAGTGGTGAGAATACTTCCCACCATCCTGATGTGCCCAGGAAATAGTTATCATCTAATTTTAAAGCTAGTAGCACAGTGAAGAATGTTAATGCAACCAAATTGATCCATATCTCAAATATTGTTAAGCCTAACCAGTGAACAAGTTCATTTAAAGAAAAAATCATTGTAAAAATAATACAACTTTGTATCAGCTATATTGCAATATTATAATGAATTAGAATATAATAGTATGTGTAGTCTCATTACTCAAATGTGTAGTCTCATTACTCAAATGCATTTTTTTGCAGAATTAATATCAGTTTGTTTTAGATCTTAATACAGCAAATGGCACTCTTCTGAAAACACGTATATGTATACCAGAGTTCTGTCTATTTATCTCACAGTTTGCACCATCCAATGTCGTTAAATTATCTGTACAAATATGGACATAATTAAAACTTTATATAAATTTCTGCACAAACATATACACAAAAAATATACTTACCTTTTAGAGTTACAGTAGAAGTTTTTATATCAAGATCTAAGGTTCCATGATGAATCTCCTTTAATCGCAAGGCTAAGTTGACTGCTTTAAACACTACAGCTCCAAGACCATGGATGATTAGCTCCGATGCGCCTTTATCGAATAGTTTTTCACACTTACGTAAATATCCCTTCAAAATAAATATACATGTCAATATTTCGAGAAACAAGTTCTAAACATGTTTATTTCTTCAATTAAAAGTACAAGAGATGATTTTGCCTTTCATCTTTTTAAGATGATACTACCAATTCGAGGAAGTTATCTAGCATATATACATCTCAGTTTTGGTCGAATTAAAAAATTTTTTGTCTTGCAACGCTTTAAAGGTTATGATTTCTGTGAAAAATAAGATACCTTGAGGGGAATTCTATTGTTTACGTAGATATCTCTGCCGTTTTTTGGCACTTTTAAGACCTCATTCTTTCGCAGAATGTACTTGGAATTTGACAAGTTGTTTTTATGGCGCGTGGCCTTTCGTTCAGGGGTGATTTCACTCAACCCCTTCGGATTGTCGTTTGCCTCAGCCATTCTAATATTTTTCGCGGACGATGTCACGTGGAGTTCTCCATGGTCGCTCTCGTTGTCAACGGCGAGCACTGATTGGTCGCGGCCGCTGGACTGTCGATTGCACCAATCAAATGGCGCTGTAGAAGTAGGTGACGAGTACGTGATCAAGTGGGTCACTGACAACAACGCGACATAACCTGCAAAGGATCCGAGGATTCATCGATTGACGAGGGGTGGTTTGTGGTTTTTTTCGACAGTCTTAATAAAAGCCGGCAATATTCAGTCGCCACCGGGAAACTCGACGAGCCAGGGCGCGATGAAGGAGCCGGAGGTGGATCCGAAGAATATGATAAAGAGCAGAGAACAGCTCTACAGGATGATGATCAGGTTGTGTATAATCGTCTCTTTCGCATATATCCCATTGAATTTCCAGTTTCTTTACTAGTAATATCCTTGCAATCTTCTTCAAACGTAAACGCTCGATTATATCGGCTTGCAACATTGATTGTAATTATAACTTCTAACTGATAGCAAGAAGCAATGGATTGAGTAAGTCACGTTGAATGTTTCAGTCAATTGTTCTACGATGGTCATCAAACGTTAGCCGTGCAACTGTCCAATATGATACAAGCAGAACCACCGTGTCCACCTTCGGATCGATTGCTCCATTTGATGTTAATCGGTGCTGCACACGAGCCGGATCGCTCCAAGAAAGATAACAGCAACAACCTGTCTACGTTTGCGTCGAGTTTCGACAATACTTTAGGACCTGGACTAGATTTAGAATTTGAGACGGAGACTCAAACTCAGGCCCCGGAACCAGCGCAGTATGAAACTGCATATGTCACATCCCACAAAGGAAATTGCAGAGCAGGAGCCTTTTCAGCAGACGGGCAATTGATAGCTACGGGCTCTGTGGATGCTTCGATTAAGATCTTGGATGTGGATAGAATGCTTGCCAAATCCGCACCGGATGAGATGGCGCCTGGAGATCAGACCGGTGGCCATCCAGTAATAAGAACATTGTATGATCACTTGGAAGAAGTAACGTGTTTGGAGTTTCATCCAAGGGAACCTATACTTGTGTCTGGTAGCCGCGATTTCTCTGTAAAACTATTCGATTTTAGTAAAGCTAGTGTTAAAAAGGCGTTCAGGACCATCACGGATGCCGATCAAATCCGGTGTTTGTCCTTTCATCCTACCGGAGATTTCCTCATAGTTGGAACTAACCATCCAGTAGTTAGATTATATGATGTGAATACTGCGCAGTGCTTTGTGTGTAGTATACCAAGTCACCAACATACAGCCGGAATAACGAGCATCAAGTATTCACCTGATGCAAAGACTTACGCATCGGCTGGAAAAGACGGTAGCATCAAACTTTGGGATGGTGTGTCGAATCGATGTATAAATACCTTTGTGAAAGCGCACGACGGTTATGAAGTATGCTCGGTGACCTTCACGAGGAACGGCAAGGTAGTAATTCTGATGCAAATAATGTTGCGCAAGATTTAAGATATATTGTAAATTGCAGAGGAAACATTTGCGCATTTATATATTCTTAAATTATACTGAGTAATTGTGTAATTTTGAATTTTCCAGTATTTACTGTCCTCAGGAAAAGATTCCTTGATAAAGTTATGGGAATTGTCTACTAGCAGATGTTTAATAGCGTATACAGGTGCTGGAACTACAGGTAAAAATCTATAAAGGATTTAGGCATATGTGGAATATATTTGGTGCGGTATGCTTCGTTAACGTTACAATATTACCATGATAAATGTACAATTTACGGTGCGACGTTTGTTTCAACAGGTAAACAGGAGCACAAGGCACAGGCTATTTTTAATCATACTGAGGATTATGTAATGTTTCCCGACGAGGCCACAACTTCATTGTGCGCTTGGAATTCTCGTAATGCATCGAGAAAGCAATTGCTGTCCTTGGGTCACAACGGTCCCGTGAGATTAATCGTGCACTCACCAACCGCACCCGCTTTTTTGACATGCAGTGATGATTTTAGGGCAAGATTCTGGTTTCGAAGAATGCCGACTCATTAGCAGGTCGCTGTTAGAGTCGACAATTAAAGGACACTAAGAGACTGCAGAATTTCCATTCTTTCTAATAATTACCAATTTTATAAAGAGGTAAAATTACGCTGAAATCAAAGGTACATATTATGCATGTATCATAAAGTCGAGCGTATTAGATATAATTATGAAAAATATGTTACATATTTATCTAATTTTTTATTTTATCTAGATCATAAGCAACAAACGTACTTTGCATATCTTATTTTATTTCCAATATAAATAATATACGATTTTTAATCATACTTTTCTCTCATAATGAACTCTCTGCGGACAAGGATAAAGGAAAACTTTATCTCAAAGCTGCATATAATTAAAAATATTAAGGAGATAATCTTAATTTTATAAATTATCAATTATACGTGTTTGACTGGATAATACATAAATATATTACATGTAAAAAAAAACATTTTAAATCAGGTAAGTACGCGCGTGCGTAATGTTGGCTGTACTCGATTTTAATACAACAGGTGTTTATGAAAATAATTTTGCTCTATTTCTGAAATAGTTATAAAAACTTTAAAGACTAAACGATTAATGAGTATCTTTATCGACCAGTTCGACTAGTTTATTATAAAATTATGCCAATTTTAATTCTGCGATAATTTTCCATAATTACTTATATTATTTTTAATTACCGAAGGAAACTTTACTCTCTTAATACAACAGCAAGTTGATGCGATTGAAATTATGCGATAGAATTGTATAAAACTTGTTTTACTTGACTTCATAGCATTATTCGAGATACATGCGGATCATTCGATCGACAAGGAACTTCAACGATCTTGAAACGAAATAAAATATCGAGGCGCGAAAACGATAAAAGAATTTCGATGTCGCGTGTTGCGTCGCTACGCGCGTAGTTCGTCGCGGCGGCGCCGGGCGGCGCGCCGAACTCCCGCTCAGGTTTGACGAGGTGTCACGTGACCCACGCTAACCGCCATCTTTCTTTATCGTATAAACAGTGCGACCGGGCGTAGCGCGAATTCTCGCCGTGGAACCGTGGATTTCCCAGTGTTTTTGAGTGATTCGCACGCGAAGAGATGTCCGACGCCAAGACGGAGATCAAGAGCGACAACAACGTCGAGGATGCGTCCAAGGTAAGCGTGCCGGCGGTCACGTCAGGAACATCTTCGTCAAGCCGAGTTTTCATGCCGTGGAGCGGCGTGTGTGCGGCGGAGGCATCTCCCCCTTTCCCGCCTCGCGGCCATCGCGGCCACGGTAACGCTCGTTACGTTCGCGCGGATTCCGGACGGCGACGACGACGGCGGCGGCATACGCCGCCGCCGCCGCAATGTCTACTACGTCGCAGCGCGCGCCATGTGGTGTCGCGCGTCGAGCGACGGCGCCGCGCGCCTCCGCGCCGTCACCGGTCGGTCGCCCGCTCGCCCACCCGTCCGGCGATTTCTCGTAGCTGCGCCGTGTGTACGTACGTACGCACGCATATCCCCGCGTGTCCCGCGTCGTCATCGGCAAAGATGGTGGATGTTTCTTTACCCCGTGCGAGCTCTCGCCAACAGATTGCTCCGTTGCTGCTCTTGTCAATTTTTCTCTCTCCTTCCCTCCTACGCCTCGGGCCCGTGAGCCGTATGATCGGCGCCGCGCAAAAAGGCGGGAAATCGCGGCGACGCCGCGCCAGGAACGTGGCCGTGGCCGCGGTCGCGCGATGGCGATCGTCGGCGTGGCGGTCCGCGTCCGGCAGGAACGTCGTCGTCGACGGCCGGGTACGGGAGTCGCGCGCGAGGCGTATGTATGCACGACGTCGGAGACGATGCGGGGACGGCAAAATGGCGGGAAACTTGAACGAGACGACGGTCTTAGTTCAACGGTCCCCCGATAATCTTATCGCGTCGTAATTATCATGTCGTGCCGTGCCGTGTCGTGTCGTGTCGTGTCCGTTTCTCTTTCCTCCACCGTGACTCTTAATTCTGGAATAATCTCGAGACGCGTGCGACTGCGTAACAAAGCATTTTCTCAATGTATAGATATATACGTAACGCGGTACGACATACGAATCGTGTACGTATGTATGTATATGTGTGTGCATACAACGTGCATGCGTATGAGAGCGAGTGAATATAGGAAACTCGGTGATTTTGCAGGAACAGTCGACGGAGGAAAAACCGACTCCGACGAAAAACAAACGAAGCGGCACCAAGAGGCTGTCCACTCTCGAAAGGACCGCTCAGGAGGGTGAGGCAATCCTAAAGGTGCGTCTCGCGGAGAATCACGCGGTAATCTTGAAGCAGGAAAAACTTTTCGCGTCGTATCGAAGAGAGATCGTCTTATCATATTTATCCAAAATCTCCATCGAGGTCCCGGCGGTCAAGGTCCTCGTCTCCTCCCCTCCGCCCGTTTATTTCCCTCCGTTTTAGCCTCTCCGTCGTCGACTCTGCCTGCTGCCTACGTGAGTGCATAAGGTGACGGGAGTGGGGACGTCGATCGGCCGGAGAGCGGGCGGTGAGGAGGGAAATAAGCGTCCTAGCACGGTGGGACACGAGGAACCAATCGCTGCGTAGGCGCCAATTACAATTTGCTATGTATATTCTTGTGCTATAATAAGAATTTGAAAGATAAATCACGGTGGAAAGTTGATTCCATAAATGTTAGTTAAGATTAAATATAACCCATAAGCGCATAAGTATACGGGATATTATTAAATTATTAAATTAATAAATTATTAAATTAATAAGTTAATATATTTTATATAATTAATATATATTATTAAATTAATATATTTTTTCATATATTTTTTGCAATTTTTGCGCGCGGCTTCTATTGTATTTTCTGATGTAAATCATTCGATAGTATCTTAAATTCGTATTTCTCTTCGTTTGAATTTACTCGGTGCGTTATTCACAGGGCATGAACAAATCCGTCGGCGAAGTAGAAGGGAGAAGACGTACCCGCAGTTCAGCCAGAGGCCTAACTTCGACAACGCCAGTGCCATCGCCCCCCAAAAAGGAGAAAAGAGAAACGTCGACGAAGGGCGGTGGTGGCCGTGGACGTGGACGCCCCAAGAGGCAAGAGAAGAATAATGAAAATAACACCGACGAAGAAACGTCCAACAACAAAAGTGAAAAGCACACGGAAGAAGAGTCTACAAAGATGGAGGTAGACGAGAAAAAGGATGAGGGAAAGGAGGAAAAAGACAGCAAAGCGATACAGAATGAAGACAAAAACGCGGAGGCCGCGGACAGTAAAGACAGTAAAGACGCTGAGAAAACGTCCGAGGCCAATTCCAAGGATGAGAAGTTAACGGAAGAGTCTGAGAACTTGGACGAAGCTAAAACCACCTCTCCCAGAGAAGAGAAGAAGCAAGAGGAAGTGAAAGACAGCTCGGACTCGAGTCAAGATGCAACGGACACAGCAGCGGAAGCGCCACCTTTATCATCAGATTCCCAAAATCCCTCCAACACTGTTACTACCGAGGAAAATAAGGAATAACCTCTTTTCGCCTGTTTTATGATTACTTTTATGTAAGTAATTTAGCTTTTCCATTATTATCTTATATAAAAATTAAAATACAATATATATATATATATACATAATATAAATATTAAAAAAAAAAAAAATATATATATATATATATATATATATATATATACATAATATAAATATTAAAATACAATCTATAATGAAATATACATTCTTATTAAGATTGATTTAGCGTTTAATGACTTATAAGAAATTTGTACAGAAATATTAATATAAAATTTTTATTTTACTGTAGGAGGTACCAAGACGGCGCACATATTGGGGTCACACAAATCCAGTCCCCTTCGTCTATTTTAACTAATTAACACCTTCTTGTCGATCGTTGCTTCAACCAGCGCATTTAGAGTTTTGCTTTTATTTTATCTTCAGACTATTATTTCCAAATAACGCAACTTTCCCGAAAATATGTTTCAATAAAAGTCTATTGTACTGACGTGAATATTAGAGCTTAAAATAGACTTAATTTATCTCTTTCTGCCTATATTATATATATTTATATATATACATATATATATATATATATATATATATATATATGCATATATATATATAATAATGTAGGGAGAGATTGTCAAATCGTGTATTAATAGCTTTAATTCAGTTTCGTCAGTGCAATTTCTAAGTTTTCACACATCAATTAGACAGGTTTTAAACATTGATAATATTAATATTAGATCTTTGCTGTTTGCTCATTATTGTTTTTTGCATTATTATTGTTCTTTTTTAATAAGATATCAAACTGTAAACCTAATCTAGCCAAGTTTATTTTTGTTAATGAAAATATATGCATATATTGTAAAAATTTTATTTTACTTCATCCAACATAGTAAAAATTCTTCTTTTGCGCTGGTTAATTAGCGATAAGCAACGCGAGGTGTAGAGCATACGTTGTTCATGTACAATGATAATATTATTGTAAAATATATTTAATATGGACTTATATAGAGAGAAGAGAAGTTGTTTTCAAATCAGAGCTGACATCTCCGGGGTCCTATAGTATAATGAGCCTACGATTCAGATCTGATATGAAAGTAGCTATAAAGATTAATTCGTACATAGCAAATTACTGTAATACTTTTATCGTATATAAATAGTGACTGAATGAAATGGAATATATGAGAATTATGGTGAAATGATTTCTCTTTTTCATGGATTATGCGAAAATAAAATTTCTGAGAAACGCGTCGCAGCGTTATCTGTTTTGCTTTCCTCCTTCGCATAAGTGTCCACTGATAATTTTATGTGAATGATAATTTTCTAACCGACCATTAAACTCTGTCTCTAATATTAGTTAATATTCGAGACTAATATTCGACGTTAATATTAACAAATCAACATTATAGTTATCAATAGATTATACGCTGTTTCCATATCGCTTTGAAAGGGATCGGAAAGACAATTTATTATCTAATGGAAATTTTTCGTTATCGTCATTTTACATGTCTATTTTTTTTATCTTTCAATACGCAATCCGTTTTCTTTTTTCCCGCTCCTGTCATCCTCTCCTTCGTTTTTATCAGTCCAATATTAAATATGTTAATATTATTGTGTATTTGAACTGTATTGCGAGTGTACAGATAGATTATACGATTGATCGATATACTACGTCTATAAAGTTTACACCATTTGAGACACCAACGGTAATTATGCCAGCAAGTTTGATTATGTAAAATTGCATATGCAATAAGAAATAAGGATTTTTTCTCATAAAATTGTATAGGACTTTAGCTCTTGAACGCGGAAATTTTGCAATGAAAATTAATAATATGCGAAAATATATATAAAACTCCAAGGAAATTTCCCGGCCTCTCTTTGATGCCAAATAGATTTATAGACACCAAGTAGTAGCACGAGAATATAGTCGCTATAAGTATTTCCTTATAAGTCATACTAATATGTTTATTGAAATTACGTTACAAAGAAACGTGAACCATTCCATCTCTGTTTTCTTTAATTATCTATAATATCCTCCTGAGATTTTCGATTGTATATAGCGAAGATCAAGTGTAATATACGTGTAAATAGTTTAATATTAAGCTTCGTGTATCACACTGGACCTTTTCTTGATTACTTTTTGTGAAATCTCAGCTCTTAGGGTGCCTCTAGCATTAACACGTTGTACGATATATGAGTGTAGAGAATATCGGCGATTTAAGAATCAAAATCAAGCTCTAATGGCGAGTTTACGTAACTGTATCGCTTTTGAGGTGTTTATTTTAAGAAGTAATTTTTTTTCCACACATATATACATGGGGAAGATTATTGTACGGTTCGAGATATTAGAATTTCTGTGAAATACATGTATATGTAAGGAAATACTCGGTTTCGTTAACAATTAATCGCTGAATTTGTTAAATTTATTATGTTAATTGAAAAATCTTTTTATTTTAATAACATTCTTGTAGATTTGTTCGTCAGAAACGTTTAATATATTTCAAATCCAAATGATTATATATAAGTATATATGTGTGTGTATGTGTGTGTGTGTGTGTGAATATCTCTTTTATATAAACCTAAATAAATTTCTAATAGTATATATTATGCTATGATCATTGGCATACACATTTGGTCGAATACAAATTAATTTCTATCAATAATCTAAAATTAAGTATCTCTCTTTAATACCTTGAATCTCTCTCTTGTGTTGCTCTAAAACTAAATAACAATATTAAAAGAAATGTAAAAGTTAAATTTGTGGATACAATTTACGTCATAAATACATTAATATGATTTTTCAACCTTTAACATATAAGTAAGGATATACGATTGTTTTATTATTGTAATTAATAGATTAAATCATACAAATCCAGAATGAGCAATTCTATTCATATTTATGAGGCTGATTTCATAAATACCAATTTATCGAGATCTAAACGAATTTATCCCTTTATATATGAAATTTGATAAAATGAAACGCTTTAATTAATTTTAACGATTTTGTACAAAGTATAGAAAAAAGAAAATCGATGCAATAAGATGCAAATTTTAGATATTAAAAACAATAAAAGTACACATGATAAGTATTCTCTCTAGGAAAATCGATAAATTTTAATATTTTATTTGGGGTGTGCTGTAATACGATATATTATATTGTATTATATAAATATAAAGTATAATACAAATAATATTCATAATTGATGTATATAAAGATAAATCTTTCTTTTTTTAGACGACAACTAATGAATATTTTAATGTTGGATAATAAATATCTTAGAATCGAAATATGACTTTATTAATAAGAGATATGAAAAAATCTTATATAAATTATCTTTTTTGTTTTATGTAATTTTTAGTCATATTATGATGTAGATTTTTCTTAGATGATAATCTTTTTCTTGCTTTTCTTAATTTATGTCATAAAAAGAAATATCGATCTCTTTGTTACATGATAGAGGTGTGTGTAAGCATTATAATGAATCATTTCGCGTATTCCTTTTTTCTGCTATAAGTTGGCATTTCTAAGTAAATTACTTTCATTAGTCGGGAAAATACATTTTAACTTTTCCTTCTTTAGTTGAAAAGAATTGAATCGCAGAGCAAGTGTTTCGATACATTACGTAATCTCTTTGAATTCTTACGCTTACTAAAATTTTAGATAACATTGTGTTGACGCCAATATTGCGTGCGTTGACAAGGTCATATAATAATTTATCCGTCAATCGCAATATAAAGCGGGGTACGCATATTCTTTTTCAATAATTTGCTCATCACGATTTATGACAAATTTGATTGCATTGATAGATTCAATATATCTTGCTCGGCGCGATTTGTTAACTTTTCTTTTATATAAATTTTTATCTTTTATTGATATATATGGTCAAAGATGTTTTTTTTATTTTAAACCAGTCTATGCTGAAATAATAGAGTAAGATATTATGAAAAACAAAAAATTATTAAAATTATAATGTACTAACACACACACATACACACATTGTACAGCTTACTAATATTTTGAATCGCTCATTTTTTACAAATGAGAAGAATGTAATAGAAGCACACGAAAGGCAATTGATTTGCATCGTTTATTTGCAAAAGATTTAGCAAAAGTTGTATAAAGGTTAATCTTAAGTAAAAATTGTATAAATGTTATGTGAGGAACTTTAGTAAATACTTATTACTAATGGATTATACAAGATCTTAACTTATATAGATTCGATTATTCTAAAGATTAACATTTTAGACCCGCGAATACTCTGCTTGAAATTATTAAATTTCGAATAATAATTAAAGAGAGGCTTGATTATAATTAATATAGCCTACTGATAATTCCAATAGGGATAGTAGATAGCTATATCATCGTAATAAGGAGATATCTACGTTTTTTATCGCAATATCTTACTTATTATTTGAAAATCATCCATTATATAACAGTATAATAATAATGAGTAATCGCGTAATATTTATTTCAAGTTTTTAAATGTTGACAAATAACATTAATGGAATATTTAAAAGAAGAAAACAGAATTTTTTATCATTGTAAGTTGGCAGATTTGCTATATTATTATGGATTTCTTCTATAAACAAACTCTCGTTAAATATATTATCTCGTTAAATATATGTATTAAGAATAATATTACGTCTGTGCAAATTTTTTTGTATTTTTTTAAATTATAAGTCTAAATAAGATGTCTCAATTGATGTTCACATTTTTTAGTTATTTAGTTATTTTTGTCTTCTAATACGTTAAATTATTAATCATAAACTAATATTTCTCTTATAGGAAATCTATTAGGCGATCTTTCGGCCATGTACATAATCTATAAAGAGAACAATCTTCGTATCTTATATATGATTTGTATATCAGACCGAATTTTGTACATGAAGCAGGTAACTGCAGAAAATCATAGTGAACGATCCCGTTGGCTTCTAATGATGAATTAGAATGACGAATCGCAAATAATTAATTTTATTTCATAATTTTCTTCTTACTTTTTAGAATAATTAATCTGACTATAAATACTCCAAAATTACTGCTATACAATAGTTAATTTTAATCTACTGTTATATTCTTAATTTTACTGCAGTAAATTTGGTGCCTTATAGTTATAACTTCAGTCTTTATAAAAAATCTCTCCTTTAGTGAATAAGCTCTGTAATTATTCGCTAAATGATACTTTCATTTGTTACTGCAGTAAAATTGGATCTTACATTTTCAGACTTCAGGTAGATATATATACATACATATATATCACAAATGATTTAAAGTGAACCTTTCGAAGTGGTACATTGTCCATTAGAGGACGGCTCGACTATCTGTGTGACTTGTGGCGGATTCGGAGCTGCGCATTGGATATAAGGCTGCGGTCCCAACATTGGATTCCATTGTTCTTGCACATGCGGCGGCAACAAAGCGTGATACTGCATTGGCTGTGGATACATCACAGGCTGTGAGTATAACATTGGCTGACTCGCCGTTGGTTGTTGATTCGATGAGTATGGATTTTCGCTTGGCGAGTAAACATGTTGCGGATATGACGGCATAGTCGCATTCTCAGTCACATCGATATGTTGAGGCGGTAAATATGGTGGCATCGGTACATAGCTACCGTTTCCCGCTGGATAATATGGAGAAGGATTTCCTAAGATACCGTCATTCGTCGTGTAGTGCGATGGCATTTCTTGATATGGTATTGGTGAGGGGAATACGCCCGGTGGCGGCACGTATTGCGGCGATGCGTAAGCATTCGGTCCATTGGGCGCTAGATGCTGCAACAATGGATCCCAAGATCGGCCATGCTGTACTACGTGCGCGTCGTTTCTACATGTATCATATGCCGTGTTCATCATCGACGTTCCGTATTGCTGACCCGAGTGCTGCGTCGAATACATCGATCCGCGATTCTGCTGACGATTTCGCGCCTTGTTGCCTGTGCCTGTTGAAGAAATAAATATTTATTACGTATAAATCTTCGCTGATTTCCTCGCAGAACTGAAAAACTGAGGTAAACAACTACGAATAAATTACTATATAAAAAAATGTATGTATAATGAAGATTAATTCAATACTTGTTAAACTTCTATATTCTCGTGAGCTTTTCGATTTGCTATTCTGTATTCATAATAATGTGCTGTACATGTGTAGAAGAATGAAAATATTATGCATGAGATTAATTTATGATAAAAAAATAAAAAATGGAAAATATATTAAGAAAATGTAAAGTAAATACAAAACAATTGTAATACAATTTATTTAACAAAAACTTGAATGTTTCATTTTATATAAGTAATTAGCTAGAATATTGAAAATATTGAAAAAAAAGACTTATTCTCACATATACATATATCTTTTAAAATATGAAGTACAGTAAGTAATTAAGAAAAAAGCGAAATCAAAAATCCAAAGTTAAAATTAGAACAATCTAAAAAAATTGGAAGAATAATATATTCAAGATATGGTAAAGAGATGATAAAGAGAGAAAAGAAAAGATTATAACAAATTATATATATAATAATAAATAAATTAATATCTTAATATCAAATAGATGAATAATGATATATATTCAAATGGAGATAAAATCAACGTTTTATCAAAAATGAAAAATAGTAATAATTTACAAATAAAATAATTAGATTTCTCAGAGATAGATGTATCAAGCACAGATATATCTCGCACATTGATGCTGCAAAAAAGATTACCCAATGAAATGTGTAAAAGTATCAAAATAATATAAACAAATACGTTAACGGTTAACGGTTTTAGTAAAAGATTCGCTGCCGTTTGCTGCTGTTGTGCTATTGTCTTGCTCTTTGTTCATGGATCTGTTATGTTTATTTCTGGTAAATTCTAATTATTACTTTTAAGTACTAAGTTTTTGTAAATTTAATTTTTATTATTTTAACTACTCTTATTTGAACATTTAATTACTTATGCAAATATATTAATTACCTCATTACTTGTTCAAATCTAATTAATTATTTGTAAACACTTTTTTCTTCTACTGTGTTTTTCTTATTTTGAATTTATCATATTTTCCATCTTTTCTAGGTGGATTGTTCTAATTTTAATATTAAATTATAACTTTTTTTCTTCTCATCTTGGTATTTATTTTGGAAAACATTAACATGACTAACTTCTTCAATCTTCAGTTTCTGACTATAATTATTCGGATGAAACATCAAAATATCTAATCAGCAAGGCCACAAATATATTCTCAGATTGTGTATTAGTTTTATATTTACGATTTGTAACTTTTATATCGCAAATATTATATTTTTTCACTATAATTTAACTTTTCTTATATCATCAAGAAAAAGATCCAAAGAAAATTAAAAGAAATTCGACACAATATAATAATTTTAATAAAATTATTAAATTATTATATTAAAAAATAACATTTCAAAATAGTTAAATATTCCAGAAGTTTCTTTTTTTTATTCTAAAAATAAAAAAAATATCATGGATTCAAAAACACATTCTTTTCCAAGTTATAAACATACTTTTTTTGATAAAAAAACTTTAAATATATATTTTCATATGTGACATTATGCAGTAACACTATTGATAGCATAACAGTACAATAACGTTTATTATCCGAGATTTTTCAACATCTTAGAAGAGACAAAGAAAAGCGGCATTATTATATGCAAGAAAAAAATAATATCCAATAATTTAATTTTATCAAGAGAAATTCCCACGCGTTATTACATTCTTATGGAATTGCTACAGAAACATTTTTAAGCTTTGCTGCAATAAAAAATATTTATAATTTGAAAAGAAAATTTCCAAATTTATATTTACATAATCTTTTTCCATTTTAAAACGATTAGAATACATTATTGTAATTATTATAATCATTATATGTGCGTGCAACAATCTACAAATTAGTTCTGTTATTTTCCATTTTTTATCTGTTAGTTTTTGGATATTATTTGTTTAAATTTTTATTATATACAAGTATTCAAAATTACTTTTACTATTAAAAGTAATTGTGGATACTTGTATATAAATCTATATTTATTATTAACTAATTTCTGAAATTGATCAATATTTTCAGTAAGATGAGCAATTCTAAGTTTAGAAGAATCTTTGAAAGAATTTTTGATTATTTAAAACATTCTATATATATTTTATAATGTGTTTTCTTAAGACATTAGCAAAAATTAAATCTATTTCTAAAATGCTCTTTTTGAAAAGTCAATTATCTCAAAGAGAGAAATTAAAATTTAAATTATATATAATTAATTTTGCTATTACCTTTAGCAGTTCCACTCTGTTTTCCTTTCTGTCCAACTTGATACAAAGGATCTTTTCCATTCAAACTTTTCAATTCTTGCTTTGGTTGTCTTGCGTTTTGTGCACCACTTATACTCCGATGCGAAGTATTGGAAATATCATCATTAGCGGCTGGTCCTTCGCTATATGTTAACGAACAATTCTGCATCCCGTTTGCAAGATGCTCCATTTCTTCTGGCATACTTGGAACATCTATTTGAAGATTAAGATATTACAATATTTTTATTTTGCGAATTTCTTCTGTGGATATTTATCAATATATATAAATTATTGTTCATACGAGCATTTCCTGATGGTGCTCCTAGAGGTTGCATGCCATGATGACCCGGCCCATACATCATAGGTCCGTAATAAGTTGGACTTAAGGTACGAAAAGAATCCTGTAAAAAAATTATATTAATTTAATACTGAATATGATAAATATTACAGTATTCTTTTCTGTTCATTATATGTTATTATAATACCTCCAAATGTAGCAGGTGCAAATTACAAAAGAAATTAGATGCGAATGAATCTAAAAAGGAAACATAAAAGAAAAATTTTATTTGTGAGAAGACATGATTAGTGATGCGAATACATAATTAATATTACGTGCATAAATTAATATAAAAACAACTGTATTCTTTTCCCTGATATAATACATACGATCCATTTGATTGTGCTCTCCGAAATTTCCCGACATGTATGGATAAACAGGATATGCATTATCCGAGACAACATAAGATACGTTCGGATTGCCGTTCATGTTGATTTGTTGGTTAGCTGTAATTAATGTAATTTGATATTGTCAAGCAAAAAATTTTGGTAAAACTTTGATAAAAATTAATTAAAAATCTCTATTTTAACTGTCAATAAATTTAATTTTTAACAAATGCAGCTACTATTAATAATATATCAACATTAAATTGATATGACATGTCAATGTAGCATCGATTCAGTTATTGTGTGAACGTATTGTTTTATTTATAAATTGATTTAAAAAAAAAATTATCATATATACATACATATATATATATATATGTATGTATATGTGTGTGTGTATGTATGTATGTATATAAACATTTCAATTCTTCATATTCTTTCTTAATTTATTTAAAAAAACAAAAACAAACGTTTTGCAAAGTTTCCGATTTATATTTTCAATTAAGAGATAAGTCAGTTTATTTAAAATTTTATCTTCTTACAGCAGTAATGTTAAATTATAATAACAGGAAACTTTTTTCTTGTATTTTCTTCTATTTTCTTTCTTTCTTGTATTTTCTTGTCTTTTATCATTTGCATTCAATAGTGTAGATTGATGATATACTTCTATTTTTGTCCTGCATTAGTTAATGCAGATATGATTTAATCTGCAAAATTTACAAAATTGAACTTCGTAAATTTTATAAGTGATTGAATTTTCATACCAGAAGATTTGGAGCTATTTATTCATGAATCGAAAGAAATATCTTTATTAATCTACACTATTGAACGTGAGCGGTAATACGCGAAAAAATTCATTTTATTTGATAATGTACAAGGAAGAAAAACTTAGAATTTTCAATATCATATCAGTGAAGCACTAAGGCCCAGTTGCATTAACTATTTTAGCTTTAAGCGAGACTTAACTATATTGACCACTTAAATATATGTCTATCTTTCTTTATCTTTCTTTCTAAATAAATAAAGACAGACATATATTTAAGTCTCGTTTAAAACTAAAATAATGTTGGTGCAACTGGGCCTTACAGCTTTAAAAATATTTACCATTGCAAGGTGAACAATAATTCTCATCTGACATTTTCAATTTTGTGCATGAATTCTGAAAACCATTACGAGGATTATATTTTTCAGTTTTGTTTCTTGCAGTATTGTTCATCTTTCTATATACCACTTTTTTATGCTCTTCTCCTTTTTGTGCTACACTGTTCGATGCTGTGGATTGTGAATTGTTTAGTGCAACCATGACAGGCAAACTGTTAGTTTCTTCCTGTAAATAAAAAGATATGAAAAAGAATTTCTATATTTTTGAATACAATGTTAAAATCTTTCTTACATTTGTCGCACGATCTCCTAAAGACTGATTCTCTGTTTGGCATTGATCTATTGTACTGTAAGCAAAATTTGATTATAAAGTACAAAAAAAATTTTAATTTAATTTAATTAATTAAATTAGCAATATCTTTGTTAAACTACATGATTTTATACTTTATTGTATAATTATTTTTATTCTGTATGTTGCAATCAAAATACGTACGAAAGTTCATCGTTTCGCTCATCAATTTTAGTTTGATTAATATTGTTAATATTATCACTATCATTATTATTATTATTATTATCATCCTTTATTATTATATTTTTATTTGGATTACTTGTTGTACCATGTACCATACTTAAGGTGCCTTTTTTCTTTCGCGAGAATGAGTTATATGATTTATTCCACCGTCGACCTAATAAGATAAAAAATAAAAATTAATAAGTGTATAAAAGAGAATGATAATATCAGAATAAATGATTCAATAAACTAACTGGAATCTGAATTAACTGAATGAGTTCTATTGACTGCTACCCAATTTTTCTGTTTATTTTTCCTTACTACAGGTAATGGTTTCAGAGCATCATATGGAACAAATTTTTTTTCTCCAAGATCTTTGATAAAGACTAGGACTGGCTCTCTATTTGTATGCATTTCCTGTATATAACCATGGAGCCAAAGGGGCCCCTGCTTCAATTTTTGCTGCTCAATCTTATTGTTCTCACCACCATGATCTGATGGATTAGAACGTAAACTTTTGTTATTATTTCTGTCACATTGTTCTAAATCATTTATACTGATTTCTATCAAACATTTGCCACCAACTTGAAGCTCATTACTGTTGTACCTGTTCCATCCTGCAGATTTTACCTCTGCATACAAATAATTTTATTTTCAAATATTCTGTTTTTGTTCAAGAGTATAAAGAAACATATAAAGTTATTTTTTGTTATCTATATGTTTAGTATATATATAAAATACCTCGTTTCAATTCATGCCATATGTCTAATTCTATGTTGCGATAATAATCAGGAGCTAATGCTTTTGCAACTTTATAAGGAATAGGTGGTATTCCCTTCCAGTCAGATTGCACTTCATCCGTATCACTATGTTCATTCTTGACTTTTTTGTATAAATCTTCAATCAATTGTCTGAATAAAAATATATTTCATTATAAACAGAAAAATAATTTATATCTTTTTTAATATTTATTTCAGATTGCAATTATCGTTTTAATTGCAATCATGGTATATATTGAAATGTAATTAATCGACTTACTCTCTAATATCAAGATTTCCCTTCTGAAAAAATCTATCATGTCTAAATGCAGTATTTCGATTATTTAACATTTTATCCGCAACAGTCTTTATATTAGGCATTTGATACAAATACCTATATACAACCTCATAAACAATAGCTATTAAGGAAAAAAGAGAAAAAAAAGAAAAAATTACCATCATTTGAAAAAACAAATTGAAGTAAAAAAAAAAAAACTCTTGCCATATAGGCACAGTATAACACATGCTAATGGAAAATCTACATACATTGACAATAAGCGGCTGATTGGACAAAAGCCATTGGATAAACAGGCTCATATTGCTTTGGTTCTGTATGACATAGTAATATGACACCTTTTTTGAAACCATTATTAGTAACATTTTCACATATCTGCTTCTCGCTGACAAATATGATGATGTCTCTTTTATAAAGCAAGGACATAGCACGAATCTCGTTTGGACCTCCCCACTCTGTGAAGCACTGCATTTCTTTCAGATAATAATCAAATGATGTCATAGTCTAGAAAAAGAAAGAAGGAAAAGACATAAAGACATCTTCCAATTTTGTCTATAAAAGAACAATTTCATAAGATACTTACATTCATAAACAAATGCTTTCTTTTTATCATAAAATCCGTACATTCTTTTCTCACTCGTAAATGATAATGCTGAGTATGATACACCTGTTCACTGATTGCTCTGAATAAACAAGTGGGATCTCTAGGAGTAGGCTTTCTGAAGTAACCTTCTTTAGCCAACCATTGATCTACTGGCTCCAACGTTCGTTTCGACATTCTTCTAGTTGATACCACCATATACTTCAATTCAATAAACCGCTAAAGATTTTGAGATGTGTCTAGCTAACAAAATATTTAAATTTTTTGCAAATTTATCTCTTTATTTTACTTTCTTCTATTTATTCTTTCTTATGTTATATTTTATACAAATATAATATAAGAAAGAATAAATAGAAGAATGTTAAATATTATCAATTTCTTTTTGCTATATTAATATATAGGATATATTACTATATAGTACTATGAAGGATAGCAAAATTTAAATGCTCATTTCTTTTGTAGAAAAGAAATAAGATGTGATAGACTATCAAAAAAGTAACTCAGATAATAAATACAATGACATTCAAGTTTTAATGGTTCTCAAATTCTATTTACATTAATGATATGTCTTGTATTTGTAATAATTGATATATTTTTGTCAATGATTATTATATATGTGATATTGAGATTAGTAATATATGACAATAAATATTAGCAAATATTAATTATAAGAATTAAATTATTGAAATTTCTAATTTTTTTTAGCTTTATGTTTACTATATATTAAAATTGTGAAATTTCTTCTGATTGTTTTTTTGGCTTTGTGTTTCCTATATATTAAAATTGAAACATAAAAGGTTATAGACAATATAAACAAACAAGATATGTATCTGTTTCAGAGAAAATATATAAATAAAATATATATACTGCAAAGTAAAATAACAGCAAATTATTTTAATGTTTTGTAATTAATATATCGTATTTATTTTATTTACAAAATTTTTAATTAATCTTAAAAGTTAATATTCTTGTAGTAATATTATAAATTAACATTAACAGTTTCTCTTACTGTAGCTATAAATCTGTTTAATATATTTATAAAATTAGAAATATAGTTTCTTTTTTTTTAAATACGTTTCTGTTAAATATAAAACCACCATAAAATAAGTAAATAAAATAAATGATTACACAAACAAAAACAAAATGAATCTTGTTTTAAACATATAAAAAACATACAAAAAAATATATGTATATATTTTTTTGTTTTTTATATGTTCAAAACAAGATTTATTTTGTTTTGTGTGTGTGTGTGTATATATATATATACACACAAAAAATATATTATATATTTAAAATATGTGAAATAAATCAAATTTCGAAATCTGAGAAAAGGAATTTTCATATAATCTCTATATAATCAAACCAGTATCTTGCATGAATCACAGAAATTTGTAAATATAATTATACAAAACGAAACGAGAGCGACAATTTCTTTCGTAAGAGTTCATTTCCCAGGCAAAATAATATTCATCTAAAAATTAATTTCAATCCGTTGGAAAAATTTTGCCGCACAAAACGCTGTGTTATAACGCTATAAAGGAGACAATGTGCGATTGTGCCTCGGGGGGAGGGAGGAAGGTATCCCTCCTTAACAGATAATTGAATACATAATACATACACTATGAAAGACCATCGTAAGTGGCAATCAATTACGTATCAGCAAATTCTTTCGCCTTTCGAAGCTTTGCGAAAAAGCCAAGGTCGGGAATATCTGAGAAAAGATAGAGGTTTTTCGTCCTCGCGAAATCGACAAGCTTCGATCGGCGATCCTCACCAAGATCAAAGAAATCGGTTCACTAAGAGAGATTATTTTCGCGAAATATAAAAGGAGACCGGAGAAAAAAATGATCTCGCGCGAAAGATCGTTATCCTTCCTCACCTGCAATCTCGGCGAAATGAGTCTCGGATCCTTTCTTATTAAAACAACGGTCATTTGACTTTTCAAACACAATACACACTTTACCCTTGAGCCTTCATTTTTCTTCCCTTCCCCTCTCCATCTTTTACCAAGTTCTCTAATTCGTTACTGTTCGTTTTCCGGTTGTGCGATCGTGCAATACAATTGATATCAATTATAAATCATTAATCGTATCTTTGCGCAAATCCATTTACTTGAGCATTCCCTTGATTCACGTCGACACAATGGCAGGGTTCAGAGCAAATTAAGAAAATCTCGCAAAGAATGTACGATAAGATACGAGACAGAGAGAGAGAGAAAGAAAAAGAGAGAGAGAAAACAAGTCTTATTCGCGATCTTACTCACTTCCTGCAGCGATCGCGTTTTTTAAAGCTCAGAACGGCGACGTGAAGACTCATCAGTCGGATTCAGATGTTGTCACGATATCTTATGGAGAGGAAAGGCTGTCGAGATAAACACGTAGGTCAAATCAGTGAGTAGTAAAAAAAAGTGCGAAGAAGGAAATTCTCACGTATACAAAAGAGACAGACGTGCATGATTGGCTGACAATGCGAGCCAATCATTGCATTTTCGGCATAATCCGACTTTTCCTCTCCCCCGTTACCGGTTAAATAGACAGGCGGCAAATTTCAATTCCAACCTAGCTTCCATACCATCTTGGAGATAATATATATAGAGAAAATATCCTATAAATATTTTAATAGCATTTTATTTAATTAATTATATATTTTTTCATATATATATATATATAAAATATATTTTATATATTTTATTTATATATAATTATATATTTTTCCATATATATATATAAAATAAATGTTTAATCTTCTATACACAAAAAATGTAAAAATATATTTAAAAAATGAAAAATAGAATTCCTTTTCTTCTTTGATATATTTTATTTTGAAATTAATATGTGTTTAAGTGACGTTGATTATTTTGTAAATTAATTTTTGTAAATTAACTATTATGTTAAATTTACCTGTGTTTCATTAAAAGCTTGTTTTGTAAATTATATATATATATATATATATATATATATATATATATATATATATATATATTATAAGTAATATTGCCTAAAGACAAATCCTATACAGAAAATTATTAATATAATAATATTCTTCATCTCATTTAACGCTAAATATGATTAAAAAATATTGTAAAAATATTATACATAAAGTTCAAATACATGTAGATAAAACAAATATATAAAAGTCCTCTGTTGCAGCTAATAATTTAGTTTAGGGCCGAGAAAGAGAATATCGAAAGACTTTTTGTACAAATTACTTTTTTTTATTTCTCATAATAATTTCATCGGAATGACAATGCGATGTATAGGAAATATTAGAAAAGTACAATAGCCCGTTTGTATAAAATATGATTTTTACATAAATATATAAGATCGGTAAAAGACCATTGCATATGTGTGTGCTTCGGTGATGCCTGCTGTAACTCATCATGCAACATCACCGATGCCAATTTTGTTGTTATCGAAAATAATGAATATTCCTGCGCATTCTCTCGATATAAAAAAATTACATCCTTCGGCGAGGAGACAATTCCATGCGGTCTTTTGAATTAGGCCTCCCCGTCTCGCGCAAAGCAAAATTTCTAACTCGCTACATGTATTAAAAATTTTCTTTCTCAGTTTCTCCCTAGCTGAACAGCCGGATTTAGACGACTTGTAAGTATAATATCCGCCGTATATTTAGCAACAAAAAGAATAGATATAATAAGGGAGAAAAAAGGCAAGTTAGAAAAAGCTTGGAGCGAGATAAGGACTTACAGTATTATTTAAATCCGCTCTCGTTGTTGTTTGATTGTGTCGAATTGTTTCTCGGAGCAATTTACCGAGATAGGACAGGCAGCAAAGCGGTATCGTTATCAGCCCGATTCGACGTTGGACGTTTTGGATCGAGAGTCTTCTGATCTCTCGCCAGAAGGAAAATACGCCGGTAATGACGCTAGGATAAGTATAATCATAGCATTACGATACTAATACAGTGCTTCGCATTCGCGCTTTTTTTTCCTTGGCAATGTATGAATAATTGTTATAAAATGTCACGGATATAGAAAATGGAAGAAACGACGTGTGGCGCCGTCCCCTTTCCTTTTCTTCGTTCCTTTTCATCAGCGGCAGCTTCTCTAAGCGGCTATCTTTTCGGCGTCGATCGCTAAAAACATGGCGAATAACATAAGCTTAACAAGGTAAACAATGTGTCTAATTTCGAATAATTTCGATAATCAAGAACGAGTAATCCACGTACTTTCTTTGGTGGGCAGGGGATTTTTCTCGAGGGTTTCCGCATGCTTCAACTTCGCCGGATCAAAGTTCTCGATACCGGAGATCAGCTGTTGCTTCCCCTTCTCTTGCTGGATCGCTGCAACGAGTGAACATTTTTTATTAGTTTATAATAATTTTTTGTAAAATAATATTATATATATATATATATATATATATATATTTTTTTTTTTTTTTTTATTTGATTGTATAATGAATTTTTTTATCTTAAATTAATTTTTTTAATCATTTTGCATGCTATACTAATTTTAGCATAATTATTCCGCCAAAAAGTAATAGTGAAACTATATATATGTGTATACATCGTATTGAGAAAAAAAATTACCATCGCGGGTAGAGGGATGCTCGTGTCGCATAACAAATATGGCTGTCGCAAAGGGCGATTTGACATTTAAGAATACTGTTTTAAAAATTAAGTTAAGAAAACGCAAATGTTGTCACTGCGTTTAGATACTTTGTGTAGCTATATCAATGCTACACCCTCTTCAAGAAATATGATTGAAGGCCAGAATGTAATAAATTCTGGCTTAATTATCATGTGCGATAAAAAGTCGTGAAAAAATTTATTTATTTTCCTTGTGTCTTCATTTTTTTGTTTATTCTAATACTTCTCAATGTATTATTCACTTTTATTTTATAGAAACACACTGATTGTCGTATCTAAACAATATTAAATCGCCCTTTGCGACGGCCAATTTTTTAGTTTGCGTTTCGTCCAGTTAGTGTCGTATGGTAAATTTATATTCTCAATAATAGACATTTTTAACAAATATATGAGTAGAGAATTCTATCGAAAATTAGGATTTCTTCATTCTTTTTATCTTCATTATAAAATTAAAATGAACAATAAAAAATAAAACAGAAGGTTGATCTGCATCTTTAAAATTAATCTCTGCTTTAAAAAAAAATTTTAAATTTACGATTTTCTAGATGAATGATTTCCTACTCGTTTTTAATTCACCTATTATTTGACGGAGTTCATTTATTCTGTACATAAGCCAATTTAAAAGTCTGACTTATATTGTACCATCTTTATCGGGTAACGGGTTCTTCTCCTGAGTCTCGGTATGCTTCAGACTCGCGGTGTCGAATTTCTCAATTCCGGCGATCAGCGTTTGCTGGGTCTTTTCTGCTGCAACGTCTGGAAATGAGACGATCGATCTCAGAAACGGCAATGATAATAATAATGCATAAGTAGAATCGAAAAGCGTGTCACCTTGCCTTAGTATAAATTACTATATCCAGCTGGTGATCTAGTTTCGAATACGAGGATTAACGAGGGATAAATTCAAAAAATTATTGACACGTGATTTATATGCCGCACAATCGACGAGCGCAACGTAATCAATCAATGACTGGTACCGTTCCTTTCTTTATAAAGCGCTTATCCATTAATGCTTTACGCAGATAAAGTCTGCACTTCCATAGACAAAATTATATTTTATATTTGAATTTAAATTAAAATTTCGACGGAAATTAGAATTTCCTAATAAATTTTAAATATATAAAATTTATAAGGAAATTATTATCAATGTATGTTTTTGAGCTTATCCTCTTGTTTATATTAGTTTAACTTGTTGCTACATGTAATATATGACAAATATTTTGCACATTAATGTAATGTACGAAAAATATTTTAGAATACTTTTCTCTCATTTTAATTTTAATGACAAATTCTTCGATTGGATTTTCATTATTTTATACATTATACATTAGGGATACATAATTCTTACGAAATCTTGAAAATTTATAATAGGTTTATAATTCGAAGGTTTTCAGTTTCACAATATTTCAGTTGAGAAAGTATCAATTTTAAATCGAATCAAGGAATCCGTATAAAATAAAAAGAAAGAATTTAGGAAACCGTGTATATTAGTTACCTGCATAAGTTACTTTTTAAATATATGTTCTAAAAATTTGTCTTATAAAATTGTGTAGCAAGAAGTTAATGACCAAGCTAAATCACCCAAAAAATGCCATCACCGAAGCCATCACAGTTCTCATTGTCGCTGTTTTATTTTAAAGTAAAGTTTTGCATGCAACCAATTATCTCCAAAAGCAAAAGCAATAATCCTCCTTTGAATTTTCACAGAGCTATCGTGAAATGACCAAGAGAATAATCCTCGCAATAAGATTGGGAATAAAAAAATGATGTCCCAGAGGCTCCATCGGTATTAAGGAGCAATACCTTTGGCGTTAGGCAATATAATCTTCTCTTTCGTGTCGGCATGCTTCAACTGATCTGCCTTAAATGTCTCCAGGCCATGTATCAACTCAGAATGCTGCCTCTCTTGTCGTACGTCTACGTCAGCAATTCACATATTTTTATTGCAGCTGCAGTTGTTTTTATCGGGAAGTTCCGCTCGCGCCTCAATTTTTCCTCACACCCTGCATTTAGCGCTAAACGTATCCGATTATGTGAGTCTTATTTGAAAGATTCAAAGTTTTTATTTCAATTGAAATTCATTGCACGTATACATTTAGCGATAAATGTATGGCTAAGGGCAAATGCGGACCTAAATGAAGACTTATGCATAGATTTTGTGAGGTATTAATATGAACATAATTTCTCATAAAAAATTTTTGTCACATAAAAATAATATAAAACGTAAAGAATTTGTGAGCGAGAATTTGTTTTATATACATAAAAAATATCAGCCAAACATATATTAACACATATTAACACACATCGTGTTTTTATATCAATTAATCAAATACATTAATCATGAAATTAATAGAAAGTGCAAATGCAAAAGTAAAATTTCACACTCATCAAACTTTGCGAGCAAAAAGTAAGTAAGATAACACTAATGGAAATTAATTTCGAGCAGAGTTAATTGAAATATATAATATATATTTTTACGCACCTTCAGCGGAAGGTAAAACATTTTTCTCGGCAGTGGCAGCTTTCTTCATGCAACCGTGATTGAAACCTTCCAGCTCGCTTTTCAAGTCTAGGGCTACTTTGGGCAAATCTTTCAACGATGGACTCGACATGGTTCAACCTTGTACTTCTTAATCTGTAAGATAGAAATATTTTAAGGTCAATCACCTCTTTGTAGAACGGACAAATTAAATTTGTAGATCCACGGAATGATCTTTTAATATTTACATGGATATTCTATTAATTCACATTTTATATGTTCTGTAAGCATGTAACGATCATTTTATTACTTCAAATTTCTTAACAAATTTAAGATTCGAAATGTGTTAAAAAAATGCACAAATAATCAATCGTTATAATCCGAAGTATGTTATCGATTAATATCGATCAGAATGCGATACGCGATAGAATCCCGAATATATGATTGTCTTTTTTCTTTCTAAAGCATTTTCTACAACGTGCAAAAAAGAATCATAAAAATTTAATCATTTTTCTAAAGTGACTAATTAAGATACGTTTCAAAGTAAACTATAAATACTATAATAGAAAAAGAAGCAAGTATTTGATCATTACTGATCACACTAATGCTCGAATCTTTAGAAAAATTCTAGAGATTTTTGTTTATTAATACTTGGGTTATCTCATATTCTTATTTCTATATATCATAATAATGTTGAAAAAACTGTTGAAAAAGCAGATATCAGGAATGTCTTTATTTTCGGATTTGAAATTTTCAGATCAGATACTCTGTGTCCAAATATTTATGCGTCATGAATATTGGTTCTGAAAAAAATTAACGTTATCATTGAATAGGAGATAAAAAAAATATCATGTTAGCTTTATATTTCATTTTAATGGCTCAGACAGCTGTCAAACTATTTTTAATAAAAATTTTAATTCGTCTCAGAGAGAGAAAACGACAACAGTCTAGATACAATGTCCGATTCAAAAATGCCGGACCCGGAAGTGAAGGCATTCCTGACGCCTGCTGCACGAACACCTGCTTATATCAATTATATCATAATGTCCTGGCGAGCAGTGAATAACGGATAATGCAAAGATACCGCGCGTATTAAATGTATGAGATCTATTTCCATATAAGGTGAATATATTCAAGAGAGAAAGAGACGCGCCAGAGACGTTTCCAACTGTCAGCGAACATGCGGCAGTTTTCTTTGTCGAACCACATCACCAGCAATTCGCGCGCTGACAACAGCGATTGCTATTGAATACCAACGAAGTTACGAATGGAGCTATCGACAGCGACGTCGGAACTGCACATCGCATTGTTGCGACACACCGCAAATGCAGCAGAACTTTATTCGTGAATATTTTGACAGTGACAATGAGATTTCGTTGCAAGACTTTAATAAAAGAAAAAGAGACAAATATCAAATAAATAATATCTCGTATTTTTTAATCTTGAAAATATCTGTACTTTTTAGGGAATCCTTACTTTAGAATTCTGTACTTTTTTAGGGAATTCTTATTTTAGAATTTTTTTATTTTGTATAGCAAGTATCTTTCAAAGTTTCAACACGCACTTTAATAACGTAAAAAATATTTTATTTTGCATTAAATTAATAAAATAATATTTGAAAATAATAAAATTATATATAATAAAATAGTATTAATAAAATAATAAAATTATATAGAATAATAAAGTTACATTAAATATAATAATAATAATATTATAAATTTAGATACATAAAATTAAAAAAATAATAACTAAATTATTAAATATCATAAAATTATAAATTATCTGTTTGAAAAGCATAAAGGAAAAAGCCAAGAAAAAAGTGTTAAGAGAATGCATCGATGGTGATTTAGACAATTGCGTGAAGAATCCAATTTATCTGCTAAAATTAAAAGCGTAATGCTCGACCGACTACTGACATTAATGTATCGCGCAGCGGAAACGGCGGCTCATTACTTCCGGTCTCCGTTTCCTTCTAATACATTTTGTTTCTTATCTTATTTCCCTTGTAAGTGCAGCAACTTCATCGACTAAAATTGTTAAAGTCGCGGTCATTAAAATATAAAAAAAATTTTCTATATTTCTAAAACGTAAAAATTATATAAGTAATTATCTATGGTCTATTTATACTAAATAGTTAATAACGCAATTATTATATGGCAACGCGCGCTTAAGGTACAATATTTAATTCAAGAAAATAATAAAGCGATAACAATCTTCACGCATTCTCGTATTTATGAGAATAGAATCGAATATCTCTAATCTTTTATACTCGCAAGATATTACGCTACACTTGATTTAGTCTGCACCTATCATTCGTTATTTACGATAATGACGCATCAAGAGAGCGACTGTGATAAATGTTTTATGACGATATCCTTCCTTCTTTTTGCTACAAAACACGATCGTAATTTTGCAGTATTAAAAGTAAATTATACCTGTAGATATATAAGTATATATATTCTGTCGCAGAAAAATATATTGTACACATATATTCATAGTAATTAAAGAAATTTTTTTTCCAAACGAAAAAAAGATATATGATCCGCAGAAATATTATAAATAAAAAAAATTTTTTACGAGATTCGCGGATTATCTTTTGCATCAAACAACGAGTGTCTCTCTTTTCGTGCAAAAAGAGAATTCGATCTTCCGGATCAAACATTGCTCCGATGTAAATAATTGATATTTGCGTCACGAAATCGACGTCGCGTCGTCGCGTCTGTGGATTACGTACACTTATATATGTCTTGTCGAATTCCCAATACTGGCGACGCATTTATACATTAAACTGTCAATGACTCATTCGTTGAGTACCCCCTTTCTCTCAACGCGCTGCTCTTCAACGTTCGCGCGCATTCAGGCTGAAAACTTAAAACTTCATCTGACTCAACGTGAAAAAATGTAAAAAAGACAACGCAATATTAATTACGCGTAGGCGATTGGTATCGATTCACTCCCACGTGCTTCTTTTCTAATAAACGTCGTTTTGCGTTTTGCGATGAAATCAATGCACATGCATTGCATTTTCCGAATATAACAGATATAATATACAATATAACAGATTAACATTTTATTATTTATATTCTTATTGCAACATCAATTACATTATTTTATGATATTGTGCAATTAATAATACGTAAATTAATAAATTGTATTAATTATATAATTTATTCACGTATAAGAAAATTATTTACGTTATATACAAAGTATGAAATATTGCTTTCGTTATATATTATTTGTATCCCAGGAATTCATCGCAAAGCAAATAATGATATGGCATCGAATTTGCTGAAGCAAACTTTCAGGTAAGAATAAAAGATATGCGGAGTAAGAAAAACTCTGCATTCCACGTGGGTGAAGTCACGTAGGAGGAGACTGCTCGGATATTAGTAACAGGCATTATCAGTAACACGGCATTGATTGTGACACACGGTGCAAGGCCACCGATTTTATGCGACTGTTTTCTTTTACAAAACACTGACCATAGAAACAAAGATCGAAAAGAATCAACAATATTTCGCAAACGGTATCATTAAAATTTTTATTAGCGCGCTTTAGGAATTAAAAAAAAATTTATTATATTAAAATACTAAACACGTAAAGGAAAAAACTAAGAAGATAGATAAGCGGACTTTCGAGTCCGAGAGCCGCGATACGGCCCTGGAGGATCGCGAGAGAGGTTTTCGAGAGATACGTTCAAACGGTGGGTCAGCATCAACAAGGCTGCGTGTAGGTCCTTATATGGTAGCCGGTTGTATATGTCTGTATATAGGGAGAACACGAAGGAGGCCGAATATACGCAAGCCAGCGAGAGAGTTCGGTGCGCGTCCTTTACGTATCTCTGCTTTGCTCGATGATTTTTTTTTCTTTTCATACGCCTGCGTGTAGGCGTATCGAGTATACGTGTGGGTACATAAGACTTGGGTACTCGGCTGCACATAACGGTAAGAGACGATCTCTCGATCGCGACGAAATGCGCTCGTATAAAACTCTCGGTAATTCTCGACTTTCGCGGCGAGTTTGTCGATAGAAAACACGTCGCGAATCCATCGAGCGATGCGAAAACCGTGAAAGGGCAACCTTGACAGAAAACGTCAAAACATCGGATGATTTATACCTGATGTAAGAAATATAATATGTCAAGAAGCCTCAGATAAAAAAGAACTTTGAGAATTTTCAAGGATGATTTTATTTTAAGTCAATTTGAATGAAACGACCTGTATGTTTTATTCAATAAATATAATCGTATATTTTTGTAATCAGTCATTTTGCATTTCGATCAATCTGCCAAGAGTTTGAGATCAAGTTTGAGATCAAGATCATGTGCTAATAGGTAAAATAAGTAACTTTCAATTAATAAAAGTTATAGAGATGATGCGATTTAACATCTTTTCTAACAAAACATCTCTCTTTTTCTTAGCGTCTTTTATTAATTAAACTTCGTTCGAACATTGCGGATGTGTTTGACGCGTTTCGAGATAGAGCAAGAAGAATTACGAGCGCTTTTAATCGGCAAGAAGCGCCGTAACAACGACCGTTAGTTCCGTTTAATTGAACATCCGTGGCTTTTAACCGTGGCTGATTGAACCTCTCATTGGCAAACTGTAAACGGTACAATTTAACGAAGCACGAGAAGTCGCGTTCAGAGAAACTTGAATAAATCCCGTGCGATCTCCCCGAGTGGATTCGCGTCTCTCGAGGTGAAAAGCGGGACCCGCGAGAAATTAACACTGGAAAACTGGGTTGCCGAGATGCGTTGGCAGAACTCGACGAGTCATCGAGATAGATTAAGGCTGAGCCCAGACTGATATTTCATATGAGTATACGTGTCTAGGAGCGATTTCTAATATTTTTTTTTAAACGAGAAAACTGTGCAAGTATGGCTCTAGGTCAAACGGTAGCGCTATTAATTATTCGTGAATATTACCTGCGGCATCCTATAGATAAAATCTATTTGTTTACATTAATCGGAAGTTTAATTATGACTATCTCGAAGTATTTAATTACACATTTTCTTAATGAATTATTGATATTCCGAAATCATCATTAAGAAAAATTCTATTTGAAATTGCAAAAATTTCTTACACCAGAGATTGGAGCTAAAAACCGGAAAAAACCGGATGAGTTAAATATACACAATTGAATTTGCACTTTTA